CCCACAGATATGCCCCTGCCCCAGCGTCTCTCCCTTTCCTCATTCGTTCTGCTCGTGCATAGGATACGTGAGGAATGTCGTGCCAGCCGCGTGTAAGAGAGAGAGATACATTCCCATTTCACACGGCCAACTTTGCGCCGTGGCAGGTCTCTGCATGGATGATGTTATACTTCATGTGGAGGGTATGGCTAAAAGGCACTTTTTTACTTTGTATCATGCGGCTTTAAAAAAAAAACATTTAACAAATGTTATTTTTTTTTATCACACACGGCCGCTTAATAATGCAGTAATTCCAATTATAATTTAAAAAAAAGCCTCGGTCAGTTTCAAAACATCTTCGATAGGATCCTGCACCGAGTTTGTCCAACGAATAGCCCCTAATTGACTGTAATACTTCAGAATACCGGAGGAGGAATCCGTGTGGGAGGAAAAGAGAGAACCCAGAGAAAATACACCACGCATCCTACGGGGAAGGATGGGGCGGTGATACTCAACACTGGCACCTACAAACGCCTGGGAAGCTCGAGTGGCCACCCATCCCGGTACACACCGAGCCGAACGTTGATGATCTTCCGATATCCGATGAGATCGGGTCCATTCGGAGGCCACTTCAGCTGCAGGCAATTCTCGGCGCCGCGTTGATCATACGTGAATGTAAAATCGATGCCCTTCAAGAGATCGCTACGGCATTGTCGTGCTCACCAGTGATCGACGAAGAAACAGGAAGAGGAGGTGGAGGAGAGGGAGGAGGAGGACCCCACATTGCTCACACAAGCCCCTATTTCTTCTACATATTTTCTTCACACCCAGCCACAACCCGTTCACACAATCCCCCTTTTTTTCTTTTCCCGGCGATGACGAACGTGGCGGGTGTCGCGTAGGGAACGGGTGTGCGAGACAGACGGGGTCACACCGCCACAGACGCCCACATCTCTCATTGCTATCAATAGTCTTCGGGATGCTGCTCTCCCCATCAACAACAACAACAAAACTGCTTCCCCACCACTTCCATGTTCCCTTACAGCATCCGTGGCAGCTGAAACTGCCGACGTTACCAATAAAATCTTAAGCGCACAAGTGAAGCTTCCTGCTTAGGAGAGAAATGATAAATACCGTGAGTGCAGCACACTGGCATGTGAAAAGGGCATTGGTCTCCAATGTGCAAGTAGCTTCTTACATTAAATGCTTTAAGAAAAAAAAGCTAACACGTTTCGCTTCTCGGAGTGCCTCGTTTTTTGTCCACGTTAACTCCGATTGAACCTGTTTTGACTTGGGCTTTAGAGAAAGTGCCCCCCTCGCTGAAATACATGTCACCCCGCTCAAAAAGAGCACCGGCCAGTGCCAGTCTCCAATGATGGTGCCGAGCCATTGGTGAACAATTCCATTCTCGGATTGCGCTGGTAGCAGCCTCTTATGGAACGGTCACTGTTGTTTTTTCAACATCAACCGTCGGGTCTATCCACTGCTGGATGAAGGCCCCCTGCCCCACACCATTTCCAACCCGCTAGCCGTCCCATCTCACGTCCTGCTACGCGAACAGACCTCACGGGCGTCCTATTTGGACGCGTTCCCATCTCCTGTTGGCTGCTATTCCATCACCAGTCTCCTCCATCGGTCAGCGTCCGTTTTTCAAGGATTCATCGTTTCCGCCCAAGCCTATTTGCGTCTTACTAATTGTCAATACCGCATCTCCGATTCGTGTCCGTTTCGCCGATACGCGTCCTCCTTTTCTCCTCGCCCCTCTCCGATCTGCACAATTCGCGCTTCTTGGTGCGCACGAGTCGGGTTTATCGGGGAACTTTATTTATTTATTTCACAGGCGTTTTAACTAATTACACGGATGGACTATTTCACGTGGGAGTGAACTATGACGCGAGGAAAGGACCGTGGAATATTAAAAAAGGGGCCCTTGCACGTTATTTCACGGTTGTTCCGTTTCAGGAGCACCATTGCCCTGGTATCGCGTGGCCATCAAATCACGGACGCAGCCGTTCTCAAATGACAGCCTCTGCGGTGGCTGTCCCGCCGAGCGCGGTCTTCCCATGGCAGCGCGGCGCCCCCTGGCGATCAGGGCGCGTCCTCTGGAGTCGGATCAAGAGTGTCGGGGGAAGCCCCTCCCCAGCCAGCCCTGCCTACAACACAAATCGATGGAATGTAATTGCGTGTTAACAATTAACAACATAGCAGCTCGGAGTCAGAGCGCCGAGCACGCCCGGCACTGTTGTGGCCCTGAGTTCAAATCCGGATTACCGCTGAGGCCCTGGGTTCGAATCCGGATTACCGCCACCCCCCCCCACCCCCGGTGTTTAAATGGGTGTTTTTGAAGTGCAGCTGGTTCACCAAGATCCAGAATGAACACCTCATTCGAGAGCCCAACGAGGGCACGCTCCTGGCCATGACATTCCTGGAGACACTGGTGGTGTAACCACGAACGGCGCATCGCCTTCAATAATGGTCATTGCTTCTTCAATGGAGAAAGAACAAAAGCCATACGACCTCCCTCTCTCTCTCTCTCCTGAAGCCTTTTCGTGGCTTGGAGACATCACCATTGCCATTAAGCTCCTGAACATATTGCCATCCGCGAGAATATAAATTAAGGTCTCAAACACGGCCACCAATGACTGCACAAATGGAACCATTACATGAAACTAGCCACTTTGCCCGTCCAAGGGCGGGCTTATATTGCAGTAAATCTGAAATATTCAATAGAAACATTGTTCAGCTCATGATTATTATTGAGGGGGGAGGAGGTTTGGCCCATGTGGAGTGACGTCACCCGCTCATGGTTTTTGGGGAGGGGTGCGGCATGTTGCGTGACGTCACCCCCTCGGTTTCTGTGGAGGGGTGCGGCATGTGGAGTGACGTCACCCGCTCATGATTATTAATGACGGGAGGGGTGCGGCATGTGGAGTGCGCGACCTTGTGCGTTCGTGTAAATTTCCACGCGTGCATGAATATTAATGAAGGGGGGGGGCTTCTTTTGCAGTGACGTCACGCACGGATGTAGCACTGCGCTGCGTAGATTTAAAATTTTTACCGTCACTTTCTGTAAAGAAACGTCATATTTGAAGCGACTTTGCGTAATAGATTATTCAACTGCGCTCGACATTCCTCTGCGTTAGTGTAGAAATTCCCCCACTTATGAATATTAATGAGGAAGGGTGGGCCTCATGTGGCGGGACGTCACGCGCAGGACGGACAGACATTTCTGGGTGATTACAGAAGGTAACATAAAGATTTTCTTCGTCTAATCTCTTAAAGTTGCTGCTCAATGACTTAAAGTTTAGGTGTCATTGACATAGCACGAGTCATATTTTCAAGGTATTATTATAAAGTGTGGATTACAAGTGGTCTACTCACGTGAGACCATAAGTATTTCTATGATCTTCTTTGGTTCTTTCGGTAAAGTCACGTAGAATAAGAATAAAATAATAAAAATAAAATAATAAAATTCTCACGACGTTTCGGCCACAACACAAGTGGCCTTCTTCAGGTGAAAGGAACAAACCTGTCGGGACAGTGGCTCGCTCGCTCGCTCGCTGACGAAAGCTTGAAATCGAAATTTATTTCTATGATGTTTGTCTTTCGGGGTGACGATACACTGCGAGCTGCAGAGTTTCGAATGAAAGTTTCATGACATGACGCCGATAGAACAATTACAAAGATACAGTACAACTGGGAGGTGGGTGAAAATATTAAAATCCTAGCAGCCACTGCTACGTGGAAGTTTAACGTAAACGAATTTGTATATCGATCAGCGGGCCCAGCATGCATCCCTAAACCACGACAATTAAAGATTACGACGGCGGGGTTCGTCGCAGCAAAGGACCAACATTGCGAACGTGAAATTCAATCCCACCAGCACCACCACCATCGTCATCATCGTCAGCAGCAGTTGCGATCAATCTACTGCTGGTTGAAAAACTCCCCAGACCACCTCAATTTCTCACGATCCTGCGCATGCAATGACTTCCCCCCCCTCCTCCTCCTCCTCTGCCACCATTCCCACCAAACTGCTTCTACACGAGCCGATGGTAATCGCTCCATCTCCACATCGGTCGCAAACGCCCTTCCTGACGCGCTCCGAAACCCATGGGGGGTGGTCGATTTAACCATGCAATCGGATCCGTGTTGCTTGCGGCTACGATCAAAATGAAATCTGATCTCACGCGGACCAAGGAGTGGGGAGAGAGAGGGGATGGGGGGGGGCTTGTGCTTGTTAATATGCCGACAACCTCGTTTGTTCCCTTCCTCGGTGGCTGCACCGTGCAGCGTGTTAAAACGCAATCGGATCGTCGTCTGATTTACGTCGAAGCTCACCCCACCGGCTCATCCCCCCGAACGGCGAAGCCGCTCGATTGTTATTTCCAACCCACAGCTGGAGAGAAGGGGAGGGGGGAATAGGGGTCGATTGGGATTCGAGGAAGCTTCAGCTGCTTTTAACGAACAGTCGTTCTCCTTCCGAGTAATTGTGGGGATCTATCAGCCGCGGTGTGGTCTGTGGGTGGGCTGTTCGGTAAACGTGGACACAACGTTGACAGCCCATGTAATTAAAATCCGCCAGCAAAGGCGCGTGCGCTCCAATAAAAATGAGTGTGTGCGCGTGCGTGCGCGTGCGTGTTAAAGCCAGACTTAAACGCGCACAGATTTCTATCGATCCCGCTCATAAGTAGGAAGTTAATCATGGCTTTGTTTATGGCTGGCGGCGAACGCGAAGCGGACACAGCGGGTGGCACGCATCTCGCGCCACTAGCCCCCCGTTTTCTCTGTCGCTTCTGCCCTCTCCGTTTTCTGTCCCCCCCCCCCCCCCCATCATCACCACCGAAACAAGTCCCGTCGCATTGCATCGCCCGCGGGCCGAGAAGCCAAAGGGCGAAACCTTATAACATTGTTGTTGGGGGGGGGGGGGGGGGGGCAGGGGGGATATAACTACAACATCTAAATTTAGCCGCCGAGAATTATTTACACAAACGCAACGGTGGTAAAGTACAAATACGTACGGTGCGACAGAAGTCCAACGTCGAGGTTATTTTCCCGGACAACTCCAAGCTGAAATTAACGAATCCCTAGCTGTGCGCGGTCTATCGTCGCGGGGTGGCGGGGTGTGGAGAGGGGGGGGCGTGGAGAGGGAGGGGGGCATGGAGAGGGAGGGGGGCATGGAGAGGGAGGGGGGGGCATGGAGAGGGGGGGCATGGAGAGGGAGGGGGGCATGGAGAGGGAGGGGGGGCATGGAGAGAGAGGGGGGGCATGGAGAGGGAGGGGGGCATGGAGAGGGAGGGGGGCATGGAGAGGGAGGGGGGCATGGAGAGGGAGGGGGGGCATGGAGAGGGAGGGGGGGCATGGAGAGGGAGGGGGGGCATGGAGAGGGAGGGGGGCATGGAGAGGGAGGGGGGGCATGGAGAGGGAGAGCATGGAGAGGGAGGGGGGGCATGGAGAGGGAGGGGGGGCATGGAGAGGGAGGGGGGGCATGGAGAGGGAGGGGGGGCATGGAGAGGGAGGGGGGGCATGGAGAGGGAGGGGGGGCATGGAGAGGGAGGGGGGGCATGGAGAGGGAGGGGGGGCATGGAGAGGGAGGGGGGCATGGAGAGGGAGGGGGGGCATGGAGAGGGAGGGGGGGGCATGGAGAGGGAGGGGGGGGCATGGAGAGGGAGGGGGGGCATGGAGAGGGAGGGGGGGCATGGAGAGGGAGGGGGGGCATGGAGAGGGAGGGGGGGCATGGAGAGGGAGGGGGGGCATGGAGAGGGAGGGGGGCATGGAGGGGGGGGGAATGGAGAGGGGGGGCATGGAGACGGGGGGCATGGAGAGGGGGGGCATGGAGAGGGAGGGGGGGCATGGAGAGGGAGGGGGGCATGGAGAGGGGGGGGCATGGAGAGGGAGGGGGGGCATGGAGAGTGAGGGGGGGTATGGAGAGTGAGGGGGGGCATGGAGAGGGAGGGGGGGCATGGAGAGGGAGGGGGGGCATGGAGAGGGAGGGGGGGCATGGAGAGGGAGGGGGGGCATGGAGAGGGAGGGGGGCATGGAGAGGGAGGGGGGGCATGGAGAGGGAGGGGGGGCATGGAGAGGGAGGGGGGGCATGGAGAGGGAGGGGGGGCATGGAGAGGGAGGGGGCATGGAGAGGGAGGGGGCATGGAGAGGGGGCATGGAGAGGGAGGGGGGCATGGAGAGGGAGAGGGGGGGCATGGAGAGGGAGGGGGTATGGAGAGGGAGGGGGTATGGAGAGGGAGGGGGGGCATGGAGAGGAAGGGGGAGCATGGAGAGGGAGGGGGGCATGGAGAGGGAGGGGGGGGCATGGAGAGATGGGTCACTGGAATGAAAAAAACATGGAGGGCAAAATTGCAGTGACTTGCAGTTATGCAGAGGTTGGCCTTTATGAGCTTGTGACCACTTGTATGGAAGACTCGAGTTAATATTTAATGCGCAGCGCAGAGAGAGGGAGAGCGGGGAAAGGAAGAGAAAAAGACAGCAGACATGTCGAGGCCTTCAATTTTGTTTCCTCCCTAACCGTGGCAATATCTAAATCACCTCCCTTCCGAAGAAGGGTGTTGGCGCGTAAATAATTAAATAAACACAAATCCACGACTCGGAGCCATAAAAATGTAATTGCTTTAATAACAGACGTTGTTTACCGCTCCAATATCCACGCTGTGTCGGCCTTGCTTCCGCGTGGTTGTACCTTGCATGAATGAGTATTAGCGGCTGATGGATGACCGCGCGTATTTTCGCCCATCTCGCCCCCCCCCCATCTCTCTCTCTCTCTTTAAATATTTATGGAGTCGTTCCCACGGTCACTTTTTTGCGCGCTGGAGACGCGTCCCGAGCCATCGACCCCTGCGCGCTCCGCAGCTCCCCATCGACCCTCGGCAGTCGCACTAAATACGAAGCAAGCGTCGCGCTCATAACGGACAACGGCAATTACTCAAGCAGCAGCAGCAGCCACCACCACCCCCAGCCCGTCTCTCTCTGACCTTCAATAATGCATGGCCACGCGGCACCTGCTACTGCTGTCCGTGGCGTCCACAGGTGGCTCACCTGTCGGGTACGGGGAGGAGCAGGGGTCGTATAAGAAGCAAGCGCTGTTCAATTACCCCCTCCCCCGTCCGATCCACCTCCAAGCCACGTAAATCTATCACGGTGCATTCAATCTATTGCCGCCAAGCTATCAATTGCACGTGCCCCGTTAATTAAATCGAATGTGCCCCGCTCGCTCATTTATTCATTTCAAAGCGGGTGCTTTGCAGGGAGGCAATGAAGATGAAATGGGAAGAGAAGAGAGGTCATTTGCCCTCCCAGCCAATCATAAAGCACGTTGATGCCACTTAAGTAGTTTATCAGCGACAAGGCAGCAATCTGATACAAGCCAATGCAATCTAGATGTATGGGGTGTCTAAATGTAACCGCACCAGTCGCCGCTGTACAGAAATAGTGGACGTAGACTTTTGCAGAGGCAGTCTAGTAATATACACGAGTGGAAAGGAAAGTCTTCAAGCTTGATAGCCTGATTGTACTACTGCATTTAAATAAATATGGGGGGGCGGGGGGGGGGGGAAATCACACCGATTATAAGCGTTGGATTGACTATGCGCGAGTTTTTGTTTAATCGTTTTATTTCGTATTAAAACGTCGTTTTACTATTAATATTAGAGCCGTATTATTGTTCTGATTGGCTGTCATATCCAGCCGTGTTGGTTTACCTTGGTGTTTGTGACTACAAAGGATCCTTAAATTGGATGTGACAACAACAAATCACTTGTGCTGCAATTATATAAAACAGGACCTTGAGGAAAAAAACTCCGAGACACATGCCTACGTTAAAAAATTCCTCATCCTCATGAATACTGGACTCGAATGGAAATGAGCATTTTGGGAATGCAGGATATTAATTCATGAACAAGGCTCCATGGAAAAGTAAAACATCAACATTGCTAAAGCCACGTAGTAGAAAATAAAATAAAAAAATAAAAATAATAAAAGCAAAAAACCCACGATTTTTGCTTTTATTATTTTCAATGTATTATTGTTCTTTTCTATATACGCGACTTCACCGAAAGAACCAAGAATATTAATTTCTGCAGTCACGAAAGCTTTAAGTCAAGATACAACACCATTGTTCACCTCGACTGCGAGATAAGACTTAGGATATATTCAGAAATCTACAGTACATACGCCACGGCACATGATCAGACTTAAATATAAGCATTAAACACTTTGCATTTCACTTTTATGTCACTAATATCAACAGGAAAATAGCTTTCCTCATCACCTGCTGCGTTTCAGATTATTACATCTCCCCCCCTCCCCTCCATTCCATCCCAAAGCCTCAAATATGGCTTTCCACCTCTCAAAAGCGCATCGTATTGCTATTCTATTTAATTAAAAAGCCGGTATATAAACCTCATACAGCGAAAGTAACAGGGCACTTGAGCACATTTTTCAGACGACAGCAGTGTGGTTTTAACCATTGGATTTTTGTCACTTGAGTGCGAAATGTTCCTTCACATTTGCGTTCAAATATCATCCATCAGCGGCGATACAAATGTCATTGCTTCCTTAAAAGTGAAACTTGAATTGAGCTTACACCCAAGCCTGCTATATTCTCCATATTGCAACTTTTTCGACCCCCCCCCCCCCAACTGGAGGCTTTAGGTATGACTCCAAACGTTGCAGGTCTGTGCTGGTTGTCGTGACGTAAATGGAGTCACTATGGCGTTTAGTGCCAGCTACAGTCACAAGAGTGGAATATGTGCGTCTTGGGCCTCTCCCTGGCACCAGATTAGGGATGGCATGGAAGCAGGCCTAAGGGGTATAGTTCTGGTGACGGTCAGAGAGAGGGCAAGTAGGGACGTGACAGTCTGAACTCGAGAGGGCACGTGACCGGGACAGGGTAGCAGGGGGGCTCAAAGTATGGCTTGAGGGACACGTGGTGCTCAGTCGAGAACCTGTTGGGAAGAGCCAGAAGGGGGCGTGGCCAAAGGCGGAGCAAGGCCACGGTCGGGAGAATAAAAAGGGAAGTCGCGAGAGCAATCACGGCTGTCTGCTGAAATGGAACCCGTTGGTGCTACGGGTCTTCGGTCTTTACGCTCGGCATCGTGGGTCAGGTGGTGTGTTAGCCGACGGATCCGGTTATGTAGTTACACTGTTGGGGTCGTGTAAACGTGTTTGCCTCCAAGTTCAAGTGCGTGCCTCCGTGAAGAACACTACATTTGTACCGGATTTTTTATTTCTTTCGCACCGTACGTAGCCAGCCGTGCTAAAATCGGAGGTGCCAGTGATGGTGCATCACACACAACGCTGATCAATGCAGATGGGTGAAAGTCGGCACAAGGGGGGCATGTGGATTGAGTACAATGGGTTTAGCTGCACGGGCCCGCTCTGCGTAGCCACATCAGCAGCCTATAGCTACTATGACGAGCTGTCGTGCATGCTCATTACCCATCAAAGCACTATCCAAGGCTCACCTCACCTTTTCCTTCAAATCGGAATCTTTACTTATACTGGGAGAAATCCGATGGAGCTGAGGCTCTTTTTTAAAAAAGTCCAGATGGGGCCAATCAAAACGTAAAAGACATCAGACAAGGACTATTAGGTCCAAGGCATATACTGTACTCCACAGTAAACATGATTAGGTTAAAAGTAGGCAAAAGAGCTTCAGCAGAATAACATGAAGCAATTTTCTTGCCATTAAAAAGGGGGGGGGGTGGGGTGCCTGGCGCATCGGGTTTTAATCCAAAGGGCCCCTAGAGGGAGAGTCCCACGGTTTCCCGGTGCCAGATTGCGGTGCCCCTAAATTGGCTTAGAATTGTATGGACGCACAAACTCGCCGGGCTAACCGCAATGAGAACGCTCACAGCACGGGGAGAGGGGCCAGGGGGTAAATAGCATGCAGCAGACGGGGAGGGGGGGGGGAATCTCTGGACCCCCCCCCACCCCGCGGAGGTGTATTCCGCGGGACGACAACACCTGCCAAACCGGCTGAATCCAGAAGGGGGAAGGGGCTGGTGCATAGACAATGGGTCGAGGCGTAACAAAAAATAACGCTCCAGGTAAGGGCGGGACAGTTTAAAATCGAAAGGTAGGCGCACTATTGGCTGCGCGGCACGACCGTCCCCCTGGGCCTTTGAAGTTGAAAATAAAGGTGGGAGCCCAGGGACGATGAGGTCAGTTGCCTTCAACCTCCCGGCTGTCAAAACCCACTCCCCCTGCCACCCTGCCTCCGAGCCACAGCTCGCAGCATCCGTGCGATGCCAGCGAGTGCTGCTACGAGGCAGTGCTAGGCGAGGCTTTTGCTCGTCCTCCCTCGATCTCTCACAGCGTCCGTGCAATGCCATGAGCACAGCTACGGAGGTAGGATGTTTGAGTGACTGGGTTCATAGGCAGAGTCAGGCTAAGCCCTTCTTGCGAAGTATTCCACCTCCAGGTAGTGTGTATTTGCACCGTTAATAAACTTTTAGTTCAGAGGATCTGTGCAGTACGATTTCTGCGTGGGTAGAACCTCAGCGTGGTGTCTGCGATGTGTGGTGCGACTGCGTGGGGAAACGGTGTGCGCGACAGCAATAGCGTAGAGCTGCAGCGCGTGCCGAGGAGATCGCTGCAGGCGTGGCTGCGGTCGTTCCGCGTGGTGCCACATTAGCGCGAGTGACGTGCGTGGGGGAGCGAGCGCAGGGTTGCAGCGTCGGTGGGGAGGGGTTGGTAATTCGAGTGTGTGCGCGTGTGTTTACGCGAGGCACTCGCGCGCAAATTCGCGCAGCCCTTCAGCGCTAGCCTTAGTGTGCTACGGAATACGGCTTAACCACCCGGGGGATGCACGCGCATATTAATACCACCGTTTTCTTTAGCGCTAAGCCTTTCGCGGAAGAAGCACCTGTAGGGGCGTGCGTGGTTACGCGCGTGTGCAAAATACGCGCCTGCAGGGGCGCGCGCGTGCACACCTCAGCTTTGGGTGGTGGTGTACGTGGGCGTGTGCGGGATAACCCCAGGTGGTGGTGAACCAGCCAAAATCAGCCATGTCCCTCAGAGAGGGCGCTGGCGCGGGGGAGATCACCCGATCGGCGGGGGCCCGTCCAGGAGCTGAACGGCGTGGTGGAGGAAGGAGTGGAGGAGGGAGTGGAGGGGGCAAACGTTGCGCTCCACCTGCCCAACGAGGGCGGCGGGGCGGACGTCAGCCCCCACAGACTCTTCCAGGTCAGGCATGACACCAATTATTCAAAGACTTCATGCTCTACAGAACACACGCTGGTACATGGAAGCAAGCGTCACATTACACCGAGTGAAACCAGTTGTTTCACCATCTTCCCTGCAGATCTTAGATGTAGAGCACATGCATACGCCCGGAGCCTGTCACACCACACTCTACCTCGTCTCTTGTTTAACACTGGTGTTGATTGCTTTAATTACTGTACTAGCTTCTTTCAATCCTCGAGACAATTACGCGCATTTTTGCTTCGTATAAAAAGCGGGTAAGCACCAGCCTTCATTTTACACAAACCAAAGTCTTACGCGGCAACCTCTGAAAGCAGATTTTTATTTTTATTTTAGATATTCAAGACAATACAACAATATAAACAAAGCATTACACGCGCCACAACTTTATTAACAAAAAAGACGGCGAAAAAAATACTGCATTTAAATCCATCGCTTCACGAAGCTAACTCTGGGGTGACGGTATCCTCCCATGAAGTGCGGTCTGACTGGGATAGGCGATTGTGGAGCATAATTTACTCCGCCTGTGTGCGCTGTTTATGCTCAAACGGCAGCAACAGCGGCTCAGTGCGGGATTTGCAACGCAAAGGGTGCACCCCCCACCCCCCACCCACGGCGATTCTTCGTGGCTGAGTCGGTGCACCAGTTTAAGGAGCAGCTTTCCATACCAAACAAAAGCCACGGAACATTGCCGATGCGTGTTGTTTGGGCAAGTGCTCCAGTTTATTACCGTCGCTTTTCTAATAAAGCGAAATATGGATTGTGTTCACACCCCCCCCCCCCCCCCCCCCCCAAGAGCGCGGCAAGAGCTGTACAATCGCATCGGACAAGAAAAAAAAACTGCCACATTCCCCAACCACTGAATTCCCACGCAATGGATTTTTCACCTACTTGCCAGGAAGCATTTTCGTGCAAAAAAAACAAATGCCTTCAAAATGGGTTGCGTCCATTGCCTGACGGTACAATATCAAGTTACAGAACAATATCAAATCCTAGGTCGCTTGAGCAGAGCTGCACATTTAAATTTGGTTGTAAAAAGCCATTTCAAAATACCAAAAAGGTATCGATAAACATTGTTAGATACAAGGAGGCTTAAAACATCAGAGACGAGTTGGGGTGGGAAAACAGTCATTACTATAAAGACCAAAAAAAACCACATGGCTAGAAACAGGCGTCACTCAAGTCAGATGCAATACAGCAGAGTTCATTCTTTTCCGGCAGGCCACGAAATGAAATTGGCATGTGGCAGACCACGACGTCACATGCCAGTGCGGCATCATAATCTGTGCACGTGACTGTTAATCTGGACCTCTCGTCTCCAGGTGTTATACATCTTTGTTTCCCTCCCGACTCATCTCACTTCTTGGAAAAAAGGCAGAGCTTGTGGGCCATCCCCAAAAAAGGACCTTCGTGAGCTGTGTGGGCCCATCAGTTGAACTCCACAAGGGCATAACAGAGGAACAAAGTGAGAAAACTGATCAAGGGGGAGAGGGCCATTCTTACACGTGGCCAAGTGTCTCGTGGAAGAAGGCTAGAAAGGGCATCCTGTAAACATGATTTTAAAAAGCAAGCGTTTCGTTCGCATCACACGGAGCACCTAAGAACATACAAATACATAAATACAAACGCAGCTTGTACTGCATCTGGCGAAACGCCCACATATAATTTAAACCTAGCGGCAAATAAAACGAGCAGTCAGGCGACTGCACTATAGGCGATTTGTCTTACCGTCGTGAACAATTATTTTCCACAAGATTAATAGCTTTTAAGGGTGGTGATGTCTTTTGCTTTAAAAATATTTTTTTTGTAATGGCTAATGCAGTCAATTTGTGCAATTCGATATACCTTTAAAAAAAATCACAAGTGCATTTTGTAACCATTTTTGGGCGAAGTTTCCGAACAGAGATTAAAAAAAGGATAGAAGCCTTTAAAATAAGTCTACCTTGTAAACATGTATTTTGTTTAATGAACATACATTTGCCCTTCCCTCAATTTGGAATGACATCGCCGAATACTGTATCATTCAGAGATCATCCCTGGCTGTCAAGCCCACGACTCGTGGAACACACCGTGACAGACCTCGGCAGGTCTCCCATCATCAAATGTTAATATCCTAAAGCCAGCGTTAAATCGAATATATACAATTCTTTTGTTAAATTAAACATGCGGTATGCCCGTATACGTGCTTATTTTACAAATGGAGTGCAATGAATAGTTTGCAGCATGCGATATTGTATTTTCCTTCCTTTTCACCGTTTTTACTGCAGAATATAAATAGGTCTACAAACTGCTAAGCAAGGCAATGAATGTTCTGAAAACGGCAAGATTTACGACCCTGGAAAAAAAACTGCCCCCGCAGGGTGCCCTTCTGTGTTACTTTTATAAAATTAAACAAAAAATACACAATATCCCGAAAACCTGCCAAGCCCCCTAGACGAGAGGGACACCGAACGATACTATTACTAACCATCAGATTTTGCACACAAGTCCATGAGGTGGGCAAAAAAAAAGAGTCTCGTTCATCTGAAGGATAATCGCCTCAATTTGGCTGTTGTAGATGCGTACTGGTCCAATTTCCCAGAATTGAAAGTCAGCACGATATCAAACGATTCTGTAATAGCCCTGTGGTTGAGGCCCATGCAAGGGACTGGTAATGTGCCATTTGGACATGCAGTTAAACTGCACACCAAAATTAGGGACACAGTAACAACGTTAAGCCCAAGCATTGGCAAACACGAATGCAAACTCCGTGCTTTGCTTGCTCAATAATTATCCTGCGCGGAACCACTACAATCGTAATGTGGAAAATGCTAATTCTGAACCGGAGATTATTTTGGTCCACAAACTGACATCCAGTGTCATGGCTCTCGATCAATAATGAACCTGGGTTAATCCTCATTTCCGAGCGTTAAAGACCAGCTTTGCTCACTCCCCTCCATGAAGCGAATATCGTGCTCTCAGTACACAGTATTTAAACTAAACAGAGACGAATGATCAGGCCAACGAGCACGCTTCCTGATCACGACGCACACCAACATTGTGAGCTATATACGGACACCAACAATGCCAACGTGGTGTCCCCCCCCAAATCTCTTCACCAACTGTACTTTCCTGTAAAAAGGCAAATTCAGAATTGCTCCTCTCAAGAGACTGCCATTGGCTCTACAATCCGTGTCGTTTATCCATAATTTCACCTGCCTGGTTCACATGGTGGCTGCAAAGGAAGAACATCGTCAACGAGGCAAGTGTCTGTCAGCATTGCTACCCTGCAAGTGGACCATGCTGCAGGGAGAAGCTGCGTAAAGCCCCATAACGGCTAAACGACACCAGCAGCTTTTTAAACGATCGCAGCCTCTCAGCACCTTAAGTGCACCGTTACTACCAGGCCGTCAGAAGTTCATTCACAGAAAACAAAACTCCCGATTGGTACAGTTCCATAGACACTTAGCATTACCAGATATTGCTTTCTTAAAAATAAACCTCTGAAAAAAATGGGATTTCCGTGAAGAGTTTGGAAAGAAATTGCATGTGCAATTGTCCATAAGCCACGAAGTAAATGGACCAGGTGGAAGGATATTCTTGGTTCTTTCGGTAAAGTCACATTGAAGGGAAACAATAAAATATATAAAAATACAATTCTCACGACTGCAACACAAGCAGTCATCAGGTGTGAAAACACCTGATGACTGCTTGTGTTGCAGTCGAAACGTCGTGAGAATTTTATTGTTTTATATTTTTATTATTTTGTTTCCCTTCAACGTGACTTTACCGAAAGAACCAAGAATATGAATCAATGCAGTCACGAAAGCTTTAAATCGAAATTCAGGTGGAAGGACTTAACATTTTCAATGACCAGTGTATTTACATAAAAACCATTCAGCATGTAGGGTTTGAGACAATGAGCTTTTAACAGGATTTCAAAAACAAGCACTGGCCAGTCTTTGGGTCTTTCGGTAAAGTCACGTAGATAGGTTGCAAGAAAATAACTACGTCGTTTCGATCGCAACAAGCGCTTGTGTTGTGGTCGAAACGTCTTTGAACCTAGCTATGTTACTTTGCCGAAAGACCCAAAGAATGAATTCCTGCAGTCACAAAAGCTTTAAGTCAAGATTTAACCACTGGCCAGTTTGCAAGTTAAACTAACGTCAGCCCTACATTTTCTTACTTGTCCCGTTTGTCTGATAACACCGGGTATTTTGTTTTACACTGCAGCACCGTGCCTAAGAAATTGCTTTCTAACAAAAGCATTTTGAGAATCAGACCTATTGAGTCCTGCAATTTTCTCAAGTGCAATTCATTATGCATTTGCAATTTCCATCATTCAAGTTTTATTAAAATTCTTATATTGTTTTTTACTAAGAACAACTTTTAAATTATACTAGAGTTTTGAATAATTGAAATAAAAATCCTACAAGATAATGTGTCATGTGGCATATAAAAAATGTTGGCAATCACCATTCAATGCATTTCACATTGCCCACTTGGCAAAACCCCTCCAAAGCCACCTAGCGGGAGCTAAATGACCTAATTTGTCTATGTTGTCACAATCCAAAGTTTGCAAGTGCAGGCAAGACTACAGTTGAATAAGTCCCTTTTAATACCCACCGAAACAATTAAGAAACCCACAGAATGAACATCTCTTTTGAGAGATCAGATCTCAGATCATACCAAGGTGATGCGTGTGCCAATTATATTTATCGTGAAGCTAAAGATTTGGGGGTAAAGAAAAAGAGTGTACCAGCCTTAGATGCACTCTTTGGTTCTATTCGGTTAAGTCACATAGGTGACTTTAGTATGGATCCTTGCAGTCACGAAAGCTTCAAATCTAGAACAGCCGTAGATGCTTCAGTCCTTCTGTTCGCACCAATTAAAAATGAAGGTAAACAAATATGCAGTAATATTGTTGAGGCATTTATACATTACCAACAGCCTTACCTGCACAAGCAGATGGCTATTGTGCTATGTCGTGCATTTAAAGTTATATGATAGGAGTCCTCTCAATACGGTAATCTCATGTGGGACAGGGTTAAGTTTGGTGTACCACCTTAGGTCACGGGAGTCAATTTGAGCTTGGTCATAATTGTGCATCAATCTTTTGCCTTAGATTGCGTCAGGAGTAAAGTACTCTTTGCCATGGCTTCAGATCCCTGGCCTTGACAGACAGCTCTGACCAACTAAAGCTCACCGATGGAAAGCAATTCCACAAGCCACTGATCCACAATAGAGTCTGAACTTATTATAGCTTGATTAGGCATATATTAAACAGCTCCATCACATGGCTTCAAATATTGGACGGTTTGCATTTAAACCAAAGCTTTTGTGAAAGTTTGGAATCGTTCTGCCAGATGTCTAAGTCAAAAGCCCTCGGAATGTTTAAAATAACAAACGAAATGTACACTACCACTTCATAAGACTTGCAGTCGGCAAAGAATTCGAAACGAGCAATGGTTTTGGTCAAATGCTAATAGGCCCGCGTCACCGACCTCACCACGTGGGACAAAGGTGCAGGAGCTGCCCTTGACTTCCAGATGCAGCCGAAATCAAGACCATCCAAAACCTAATTCTACTGAGAAATAGAGTTGTAATGTGAAAAGTGACCCTGTGAAATCTCAAATCAAATCCTACTGGGGTAGGCCTATTAATAAGCAAATCAAATTCTACAGGGTCACTTTCTTCTCTAGATGTCACTTTTTTATGATGCAGTGGAATTGGTGTAACTGCACCTTTATGCCCTGTGGAGCAAAGGCCAGATATTGGTCATTTCGGTTTTACTATGAATTACATTAAAGGGGAGAGGCGGCCAGCAAGCTGCATGTCAGTAATCCGGTCGCAGTTGGTGTCGTCTAAACAAAATGCAAAAAGGTGCAATAACAGGGGGATATACGGAATCCATTTCATTAGATAACTACACTAGGGGGGGGGGGGGGGGGGGGGCGGCGGCTTGCAGAAGTATGGTAATTATAATAGACTTCAACTGCCTTGGCCTCATAAAACATAGTGCTCGTCACTTAATTGGGTGCCTCAAATTATTTTCGAAATTTCTGTACAGTCTTGCCAGATGGCTGGGTTTTTACTCTTCTGCGGGCCTAGCATGGAAAATTTGCCAAAATTATTTGAATAACTGCAGATATGGACAAGTCGTGATGCACAAAAACTCTTCTTTCACATGAAAAGTTCTGGACCCAAATCACTGTGCAGACCCACTAATACATCTAACTAACGGACATCCTATTTCTCTTCCATACAATAATAAAATATATTCGACAAATGGAATTGCAATTACGAGATTATATGCAAATGTTAGCTGCTGTAAAAAAAGGTATTAGTGGTGCAATATTAAGAGTAAAATTTTGAAAAATGAAGTAACAAACTACACTGTTTCTCAATGTTCGGATCTGGTTTTGGACTCCCCATGGTGTTGAGACAAAACACGCAGTAAGAAGCCACATTCATATTATCCTTGTGTGCTTTTCAACGTGTGCATTTGGATTCACTCCATGGTAACAAAGGCCCGGTCAAAACTCCACCAAGTACAATAAAATATACCAAAAACATTTCTACAGTACTGCATTCATCACCGAGCTTGGTTTGGTTAAAGATGAATACATAAAGCGCTATAATTTAAGCAATCTGTGCTCAATGTAGTTGTAACAATAGTAAACACCGTTTCGTGACTAAACACTGTTAAAGTGATGTGCTTATCCAGTTTGTGTAGCAGAGTAAAATTATACAAGGCGTGCATTGGCGTTACTTCAGCATAAAAAGTGGTCCTGTGTGAATTCCAGGAGCCATTGCCAAGTCATTAGAACTTCACATGTCAGAAATTGCAGTTTTGCTTTAAATGCACATTTTCAATTGCCACCGTTAGGTTTTTGAAGCAGTAATAAACCAAAGCTTTGCAGCCTGGGACTGCAAGAACAGGCATGCCCGATGGACTTGCTTTCGACTCACGGTGCGATCGTGAACCACAGCCAATCTTTTGACAAAATGCTTGATCACGGTCAAAGTGATGAGCATTTCCACCGTGGAAACATGGCTGTGAAGAATGCTCAATGATCGCCACAATTAGCTGCATGCTATAGCGCGACCCGCCAGTTAGGGCGGTGTGTATGGTTTTGGTAACTCGCAGCCGAGAAGCACGATTTGCGCACAATGCAAAAGGCAGAGGGGAAAATTTTACAGAAAAAGGTTAGAGTTCGGCGCATGCTTATTGGACGCAGCAGACATGCTTGCTGGTGAAGGAATTGCAATCGTTTTTTTCCTGCATCAGGAAAAACAAAAAAACACGACACGTGGGTTAAAAATTAACAATGCTCAAGTAATAACCACTGCCAAAGGTGGTGACTGATCTTTATAGTTCCTGACCAGACCAATTTTTAAAATGGACATGCTGGCGTGTGCACAAAAGCATAAATGTCACGCGTCGCTGGCATACTGATGCAAGATTTGTGATGTACGTAGCACGCGAGTAGACGAAAATGTGACCCCCGTAAGGTTTACAGCACCGATACACTGAATCCAGCAACGACGGCAGGCAGGATATAACACCCGATTCAAAGCTTTGAATCTATATATACTGCAAACACACGCGCACGGAAAAAAGCAAATCCAATGGTTTGACATAGCCATATCTGCAAACAGACGGTGGCTTTCTGTCAGTAGCAGGGCTTAGCGAGTATTTCATTTCTCAGAATCATCACCAGATTCCGCACAAGGCATAGGTGACCAAGCCCCAAGCACCAGCTATTCGGTCGACATAAAGCAGAAATTGGAGGGGGGTGGGGGGGGGAAGCATGTGTGTATTTTCACAAGAGTTTTGTCCACCCCATGCACACGTCATACAATTACAAAAAAGAGAGAGAAAGAGCAAACGTGCACAGCACAATGGGTAATGAATTGAAATCGACGGAGCCATTTCAATTGTAAAAAAAAAAAACTTGAGCCATTAGCCACTCCAGAGCTTGTGGATGTCTCCTCCCCCTTCCCCATCCGCACAGAGAGACACCCATTCGCCGATGGCCTCGTCAGATCACTCTGACCGTGACCACACATGCACCGGCACGGCCGAGACACAGTGGAGCCACCTGCACACGCACACACGCAGTAAATCGTGAGCAACTCGTAAGCGGGCTTGCAAAATACACAAGTGCACGACTCTGGCAACCTCTGGTCAAAAAAAAAAGTTTGGAAATAAATATTATGGAATAAGGAGATAGTTTAACACATGACAAAGATGCCCCTGTGTAGCCTTAACAGACTTGGGGCAGGTGCTGTTTGTGAACGCCTATGAAGGCCGGCATGGAACAAGGTTTGGGTGGTCAGCACCACACCCAGCCGCCTTTGTCTCCCAAGTGGCGATGTTTACACACCGTACCAGGTACTTATTTCAAGGCTAAATTGACCAGGTGGGAGTTGGGCGATTTAAAAAAAAAACGCACTAAACTAAACCCTCCATCCCCATCCCAGCATGAATAAAATCGTTTGAGTTTATATGACACTAGTATTGAGCATTTGTGAGTAATGTACCTACTTGGTTGGCATAAAACTATATAGCCAATTGGTTGACCAACCACACGCAAGTAGAAAGTCATTTAACGATTACATTAATCGATTATCTACACAATAAAAAAGTGTCCTAAATGTGCGAGTGATATAATGGAAATGGCCCGCAAACGCGTGTACAGTCCCCCCCCCCCCTTTTGGTAATTCTTTTGCCGAAGGTCCCCTCCCCCTGTCCACACGGTGGTCTGTCGGAGAGGCTGCCCAGGACTGGGTCAGATACCACATTTGTCACTAGAGTTGCCACCAGTCGTGGTTTTCCAAGGATTGTCCTCTTTGTTGAGGCAGCTGTCCTGGGGAATTCTTCATGGGACATTAAAAGTGCCTTCCGGCTTCTACCAGTTGCGTAGCAATATAACATCGAAGACAATGCATTTAGATGTAGTTCTTACACCTCTTTGGGTATCGTGAGCTGTTCTTTGTACCTCAGGTGGTGGCAACTATACCCACTGCAGATTAAAATATCTTACTGGGAACTGAACTTTGCTGGACAGGTTTATAGTGCAGTGTGTGAACCACTACTGCCTCCTCCATCCCAACAAACCATATTCTAGACATTATAAAAAACAAACGTTAAGGATGCATTATATTCATCCAGTAGATGTTCATGTGTGACCAAATTGATGAAACTTTTTGGACTCTGGGTGGCACAAGATAGGGGTGTCCGGTATTCACAAGCGTCATCAACACCTGGCGTTTTATAATCCGGATAATTAGAGCAAATGGAGGCACATGCACACAACTACAAAAATTAGCGCATGACTCATTGTGGGGGGGGGGGGGGCCCGGGGAAACGAGCCCACATTGCACACCTGTGTCCATTCATTGGCCACGGGGTCATACGCCTCCACCGTGTTGAGGTAGGTCTGCCCGTCGTAACCGCCGACGGCGTACAGACGGTCCCCAAGGAGGCCCACGCCAACCGCATCGCGCGACACACTCAGGGGCGCCACGGCCGTCCACGCGTCCGTCTTGGGGTCGAACCTGGGTCGAGCAAGTTCACGGGCCACAAGATGGATTGGGAGACGAGCGAGTGTAAAGATTTGCAATGGACAATTTGTAAAAAAAAAAAACACAAGTTATATACAGCCTTTCAAATTGCATACGCGTAGCAATGTTGGCATAAGGGCTTGCACACGAGAGCTCGAGAAAGCCCCTTCCAGGATATTTTGGCTTACTCCGCTACACTGACCAGAGGTCTTAAAAAGATATAGGAGTGCCCACACTTTACCCCCACTAAATCGACTAACCGTAGTGCATCTATATTTACTGCTATGTATGCCGAGGTGCGGATTCAATAACTTCCATTTGAACTGCCGCACCGGGAGATAAAATAAAGCTGGCAACATCTGAATTGCAAGTACCGTTTGCTAAACATTGCACCAGGATAGCATTGCAATCTTTAATATTTTTCCTAAAATTCCAAACAATTTACTTTTTCGATGTACAGCCGTTCTCAATCTACTGCTGGAAGAGGGCCCCTTCCCATGCGGTATGGGTCATTTGGCCATATTTTACCTGCTGACAGAGAAGGTTGATGAAGGGGAAGTGTAGATGTGGGAGCAAAAAAAAACAGTAAAACGGATTGCTGGAATGACTTCTGCTACTCACAATGTAGTAACAACCCTGCAAACCCCTCGACCTTTTTTTTTAAGTAGCTGAAATATATTTGCATCAATTGTTAATTCCTTTCAGCAGGTTCAGGGAAGTAAAACTATTACTTTTATACAAATAACCTTTCCTCCAGGAGGGCACGCTTAAACATTCAGATCAGGATGGTACAAGATAATGGCCTGGACAAAAGACGATTTTTTTGTTCCATACAGCATCAGTCATGCAGATCATACTTTATAATTTGTAACACACAGGCAAGAGGAACCAGAGACAAGAATTAAGGCAGCCAGGCGATGTTGCCAGCAGCAACTGCCAACGCTCTGCAGTCCTCTAGATATGAAATTTTTTTTTTAAGTCCGAGTTTGTACACGTGGAACAAGTTGCGCACACCTGGAAAAACCCACGTGCGAGGCGATGTATCGATGTTTTTCTGTACCGTCTTCATCCAAAGCCACCAAACCCTTACCCCCCCCCCCCCTCAGGTGCTACATTAGTCATGCCATAGCCACTGTTGCACAAGGTAACAACCGTCTTTAAAAAAAAAATGCATAAATGTGAGAACGTTTAAAAAAAGTTGGCACAAGTGTGGTGGTGGTGGATGCATACGTACCTCTCCACGCAGTCGGATATCCGCGAGCAGTGGTTGGAAGCGGGCGTGTCGTGTCCTCCCACGGCGTAGAGGAACCCATTACAGGCAGACACGCCCACGCCTCCTCGGCGCTTGCACATGGGCGCACACGCCGTCCATTTGTTGGTGTGCGGGTCAAAGCACTCGACGGAGCGCAAGCACGAGCTACCGTCCCTGCCGCCAACCGCGTACAGCCTATGGGGGGAGCAGAGCGTGTGCCCCGGTCAAAAAAAAAACACCTGCTAAATTTAATTAGATAAACAAATTGAATGTTTTTTTTCGTACCGCTACCAAACATTACCAGGTGTTATACCAACCACTTGTGCAAATAATATGCGGATCTGATTTCCTAGATTTTTTTTCCCTCTCATCCCTGTGCCAATTATGCAAATAAGTCCAACCGTCAATAAACACTGCATTGAGCTTCATTAAAACACAGCCTCTCCTTGCATGGCAGTGCTGCCACATCTATTAAGTTTCTAAACAAAACAGCAAACTTGCTTCTTAATAAATAAAAATTATTACGACTCTTTGAAAAATGTTTAACAATTCACCCGAGGGGGTGGGGGGGGGGTCGATGAATCTTCACAATTCAGGAGTTATAATTAGATTCGATAATCCATTTTAAATAATTGCAGTAGATGTTATAGCATTCGTATTCTTGGGTCTTTTGGTAAAGTTACGTAGATAGGTTCAAAGAAAATAAAACAAACTACGACGTTTCGATCGCAACACAAGCGGTCGTCTTAGCATTCACTGCAATGTGGACGAAGGAGTGAAATTAACTAAAAGAAAAACGCGCAAAAATCCCTATTTGGTCAATCTAGAGCTCGAAGACAGCCTCCCTGTACCGGTAGTGGGGTTATTTTTGACCAAACGCCCGTAGTGTGGGAAGACTGGAGAGCATAGATATGAAGTATCGAAGCACAGCAATGTATTATTGCTGCACTTCTATAATGAATAGTAATAAAGAAACGCTTATTCTTAAAAAAACCATGTAATCGATGCAAGCATCATTAGCTTTAAAATCAATATTAATCCATCCACAGGGTGCATCGTTACACACTCTCAATAGAAATCGATACACGCAAACAAATTCCAAAATTACGGCCGACAATTTCCAACAATCATTGCGCGGACGGTCCATGCGACGCACTTTCCGTTGAGGACAGCCACACCAACAGTGCTGCGCGGGTTGGACATGTTGGCCACATAGTTCCACTGCCGAGCCTGCGGGTCCCAGCGCTCCACCGTGTTCAGGTAGCTCCAGCCGTCGTGGCCTCCGACCGCGTACATGGGCCCTTCCAGCACAGCCACACCTAACACCACCCCCCAGGCACACATGGCAGGCAAAAATGTTACACGTTCACAGGTGCATGCTTACCGACGCAACATTAAAAAAATGGCCAAAATTATTAAACCCAAGAACCTTGGTCCTGCTCGACCACAGAGCCAGATTCCAATATCTTGCAAGGCCAGAGTTTCACGGATTGGTTATGGCTTTAAAAACCCCATCCGTGAGGGTGCCGCTCAGAGGTCAACTGTCAATTATCCGGAGCATGTGGGTGGGGGTCAGGGGGGTGAAGACCGACCTCAGTCTGTTTTTATTGCTTCTCAAAAAGAAGTAAATCGGTTTACTTGTTGACATGTTAGGGGTCAACGTGGGCAATGAATCAGTGTCCCTTGATCAGTTTGGTAAAGCTGATCAATTCTACCAGCACGCAATGTAAATATGCTTTTATACCTTTACATATTCTGCAAGCATGGATAATCTGAAACTGGAATAATCTGCCCAGGGATAAGAGTCAACTGTATGCAATTCAATCTCATTTACTTTGTAAACAGCTGGAAAGTCATCGAAATATCTCGTTTGCAAGTAAAATTTGGATGAGAGCATTCTTTGTAATTTGGTTGAAATTCATTTTAACATTTGCATTTTAAGCCACAGAGAATCGCAATGGATTTAGCAGCGTACATTCAGGTCCACGCTAATAGAGCGGCGTGCTCTGGTAATCCTCTATAGTATTACTTGGTCAGGGCTTTTGAGAATAGAGCCACTGACCCTACGCAAACAGCCTCAGTGGTGAGCATACTAACTACTACATTATCCAGCCATATTCAATTACTTTTACATTTTATTACAGGCAAAACATTAAAATAAAACCAATCATAAAATGGACATTTGGTTCCTCTATGCCACATAGTAATGCCCTGCTGAATAGTACTTTTTTATCATCATCATCGAGTAGGCCATCGGTACCAAAATCACAAGACAAAAAGTGTGCATTTGGATAATAGCAGAGTAGTGCAACCCTTCACGTGAGAGCACGAGGCAAAGCACGAGGCCGTGACCTCTGGTTCAAACAGTTTGGGGGGGGGGGGGGGGGGTTATAGTACTTTACTACCCACTGTTAACGTGTAAATGTTTGTCACATGAACATTACCTCGACGTTATTAATTCATATAATTAAATGACGCAATTATTAAAAACAAAATTGAAAACGTAATAAATGTTTCTCCCCCCCCGCCCCCAAGTCATTGGTAACATTTGGCATTCTAAAAGCCTGAACAGACGGAGGAGGGGTTGGTGCTTGGGGGGTTGAGGGAAGAAGCCCTCTGAACACTCATCTCCTCCTAAACCGATAACGACAGCAGAGCTGCCACAAGCACCTGCACTAATCTCATTAAGACACCAAAGCAACAGGACACCACAAACACCTTAATGTCGAATTTAAACAAAGCGTTTAATCACAAACACTTTTATAAGTTGCACTACTGTTATCAGATTCACCTTAAGCAGAGTTTTTCCCATTGATAAAACTCTTCCAGTGAGGAGCCAACAATGGTTACTGGCTCCATTCAGCACCACGTTTGTGAACAGGCACACACATCCGTGCGCACATTTGGACAGATGGCACTCAAGTTAATAGATTCAAGTCCTTGATTAGAATTACCAAACTTCTTGGGAGGTTTTTTTTCACTTTTAACCTTAGAATGGACCAATTCTGTTGTTTTTTTCTCCTAAGATGTTAACCCATAAGCTAAAAAAAACAAGCCACAGGGGGAATGAGAATCGTCATTAACTGGAATGGATGCTCTGACAACTCATTCAAGAGTTGAACAGGATTACCATGTTGATACAAATAAAAAATATGTAAATAACACTTTACAGCCATATCAGTCCACTGCTGGGCAAAGGCTTTCCCACGCTGTGTCAGGCATGGGGGATGTTTCACCATACTTTATCATATAGTGGTCAGTGCCGGATGGTGTACAGGGACTGTCCTGCACCAAATCAACCCAGGTTGCGGGGGTTCATATCGCAGATTGCCAACCCCCAACTCCACCACTACTCCCACAAAAAAGCAGAAAAGCGTCACCGAGATTCAAAACCGATTAAATAGGAGAGGTCCTGCATTGCAATGTTAGGTCAATTGTAGATTATTATTTTTTTAAAGCGTGTATTGTTCACGATTAAGAAAGGCGGGTACCCAGACAAGGTGCGCACATAAAAGAGAAGCAGGCAAGTTCACGAGGCCGTGTGCTGCACTGCCATCACATGGCCACCTGGCAACCTCAATGGGTAGCGACATTCACAAAATGTGCATCTAGAAACCCTTGCTTTTAAAATTCTGAATTACAAGAGTGCAAAATCCAAAGCTCTGAAATGCATTAGTATGTCCGTATATATTTACTATATAGTGTATAATGCAAAGACAATAGGCAGGTCCCACCCTACCCGAATTCACATAGCCAAGGTATTATTGCGAATTCTATACTCGTGGCATACGAAACAAGACCGGACGATGTCACCCTCCGCTCTTTACTCTTCACAAGGCACGACAATCTACGTTAAGCAGAACACCACACATGAAGCCGCCCTCTCATTCGTAAAAAAAAATATATAATAACACCACGCCGGTTCCCGCATAAAAACTCGTTTTAGTTTGGTCGCTGCGCAGGCCATCCCATTTACCGAGGCCATGCCTGTGTGTGGACATGGGCGGCAGCACGCTCCAGGTGTGTGTGCGTGGATTGTAGCACTCGACGGTGTTGAGAGTCTTCAGGCCGTCCCGCCCGCCCACGACATACACCTTGTCGTCCAGCACGGCCACGCCGAACTGCAGCCGTCGACCGCTCAGCATGGCCACCTGCGTCCACGTGTTGGTCCTCAGGTCGTAGCGCTCAATGCTGGTGGCGCCTGCATGCGCGGTGGAAGAAAATTTGAAAGCGTTACATTGCTTTGTCGCAGAGGTTTGCAGTTGGAGATCCCTTCCCCCCTCATAACTGGCCCCACGGCCGCCCTGGTTAATACTGCAGCAGGTATCAAGGATAAAATACCCACCCCATTTGCTGCAAGGTGAATGCGACTGATCCCATGACGTTATTCAAAGAGGCAGCGTAGGGCCATGGCGGTTCAATCTGTCAAATTTGAAAATTGCCTAAAAATTACTAACTTGTGAAACGCACAGCAACACTTCCTACTGTGAAACTTAGAGTTCTCTTGGAAGGGAGTTTTGATTCTCCGTCAGAATGTTACGGGGAAGTAAATGTCTATAATATAAATTGTGCTTGCATTCCTTGCTTTATAATACTTAGTTTGTGCACAGATAAAAGGCCAGCAATAAAAACAGCACTAGTGAAAAGGTTTATAAGGGTTGACAAGTTTCATGAAATTAAGCAAAGAATTTTGGAAAAAGAGATCAAGCGAACGAATGTTTTGCAGAGGGAGAAAGGCACAACGGGAAGTACGTTGTTCACCTGCAGCAAGGTACTGAAACAAAGCACGAATTCATGAGATGAAACGGTTGGTCTCGTAGACAGAGTTCCCCAACATGGTTGGACATTTGCTTTATATATATAGACAAAGATCACCCCGTATAGCCTTGACAGACTGTTAGGGCAAGTGCTGTTAGAGAGCGCCTATGAAGGCCGGCACGGCACACGAGGTGGGTGGCCAACACCACCACACCCAGCCGCCTTCGTCTCCCTAATGGCGGTGTACGCACCACACCACAAACTCATGAGGCAGAGTCGATCTAGGGGAGGCCAAGGACCTGTTCAGATAATCACCGATGTTGGCCGCGAGCGGGAATCTTAGCCGAGCGTGACAACCACTTCCACTACCGTCCCCCCCCCCCCATACAAATACAATTGTTTCTGTTGGTGCAATGAGCAGTAACTTAAAAAAAACACACGAAGGCGGCCAACATTTCGTTTTGCAGCACTCCTTTTTAAATTGGGTGCCCGCTTTGCAATTAGCCGATGCTCAAAATGTAACCTTTAATTTTTTTGCAGCGTAATTGCTGCTATACAATTGCTTATTTTTATCCCAGTTTGGTGAAGAGAGAAAATTACATAGTCTGAAATGGTGGAAAAAATATATATATGAAATGACTGGACCTTTCACATTTTAATTTTGCATAAGTATGGGAATAGCTTAATAGAATACTTAATCTTTTGCAGAAAAGCACTGTTCCACACAACTTAAAAACCATCCAATAATAACTGCATTTAAAGAGATTAAAGAGGGGACTTCAAAATGCACGATTATTAATTTGCCAACACCCACACCAACAGCATCTTCCTCATATTTGCAAGCATAATGAGCACCTCATTAGGATACAATCTCCATCTGGGTCCCAAACTACACCATCATTCACGAAACCCCTGGGGAGGGAGGAGGGGCACAAGCAGATCCAACGAGCTACCTGGGCACACTGCCACGAGGAGACGCCTACACGGCAACCAGGCAATGCACCTTTAGACGTGCTTCCCCGGGAAGCTGCATTCATTTCTCATGCCCCAAGGGGACTGGGTCTTGTGGGATATATTTGGCCGACCTGATAGCGGCAACCAAGAGCAGATGTGCTGGTGCATCACTCTTAACATCCAAGTCGTGGCTCCGCAAGCAGCACACCCAATGTTTTTCTTTTCCTTTGATCTTCTTCACCTACCCCCCCCCCATTATAAATTCTAAGCGAGTATAGTCACAAAGGGCAGCAATCCCTTTCCATTAAAACAAAAAATCAATAGTAATGTGGGGCTGCACACAGGACCAAGGCACCCGAGGTGCGAGAGCAACAATCGTATCAGTCATCCGGGTGGTGGGGGAGCTGTCATTGCGCTGGGAGGTTATCTTAATCCCTCCAAATTAATTCGCACCGCTCCCTCCAACCCCCCCCCCCCCCAACTTTAGCCCCACCACACGCCTTCCCCCTTCCTTACTTAAAACCGTGAATGGGAATTCAACATGCAGGGGGGGGGGGGGGGGGGGGGGGGGGGGGGGGGGGGGGGGGCGGGCACCGTGCCACTGGCCAACATTGATACGCCTTAGCCAAGCGGTCTGTCGACGGTGGATTACGAGGTGCGCGTGGGTGGATTAATTTGTTTCTCACCCCCACAATAAAATTGATTCCAGGTCTGAACCACGAAGATGCGACCCGATTTGACGCGCGCACGGCAAGAGTCGGGGGGGGGGGGTACCTAAAAGCGTTGCTGCAGTTCACCGTGGTCAGTTACCACAATTGTGGGACGTAGGTATACTAAATAGTTACAGAGATCATCATATTAAAAAAATACTGAAGACAAAATATGGTCACCAACTAAAGTGTGCAAGGAAGCGTGGACAGGCGCGTGCTGTGAATTACATTGGAGGGAAAAAAAATAAAAACTTGATTTAGAAAATGGAGACAGGTTAAAGGCAAAATTCAACCTGCAAAGTTAAAGTGGGCAGGACACATCGTGATAAGGGATGATGGCTCAAAAGGCAAGGAATGAAACACCCAAGATGACGTCCAGAGGTGGAGCAATGAAATTCAAAAACGTGTAGGGTGCTCGATCGGTTGTTACATCGCAGAATCCACTTATATAGCAATGGCTTGGAAAGTGTTCATCCAGCAGTGGATTTCAGAGCTGATGATCGTGCTCATTATAATTACACTTATTTACTGAGAAAAGCAACATTGAGCCTCAAGACTGTTTCAGGCACATTATGCCAAGTTTTTTTTCAGTTGGAAGTTATGTTGCTGTGTGTAAGCCCAATACAATAATTTGCAGATAATTATTCTGCATTGGGATGTTTGATCAACCAGTTTCAATCTTTTGCTATGGGAGTAAATCAGAAAAGAAGAAACTCATTTAGTACAGGGGGAGAACTCAATCCCATACAGCAAAGGGCTTTGAGTTGGGAATTGAACCAAGGTACTTGTGGGAAGCACAAATGTTACAAATGCACCACGCTGCCACCCAAGTAAAAAACAACAAATACAAAGTGATATTCCCGTTTAAAAATCAATAATACCGAGGGGAACAACTGTTGCATAGCACCTCCATCTAAAAAGTAGCACATTATCTTGGGCTTGATTGCAAGCCAACAAAATGTCCCACAAAAAAGTAGCATCATTAAATATTTTATTACCATTACAAGAGGGGGGGGGGAATGCAAGACTTTTTTTATAAACATTCAAGCAAAAGTTTTGAAAATATTAAAAAACGGTGTATTTAACACAAAGGCTAGCCTGCAGGAAGACCACACTGCACAGATATTTGCCCGCTCAGTGTGGATAATATTTGGGTCGAGCGAAGGCTTTGCGGAGAAGAAAATGGTGGGAGCCATGTTGCAGACTTCAACGCGAGCAAAATTTTAGGCACACGGCTGACATTTTTATAAGCATCATTCTAAAGCTAATCTCCTTCAGTCACACTTCACCGTCTCGAGCCACTCACTCTCATACCAACCAGCGCCCCAATTACCCGACTGCCCCCCCCCTCCTCCTTTTTCCCAATTCATACAGCTGACCCTTGGTGGCGTCCATTCCTCCGACGGCAAACATGGTCCCCACGGTGGATTTTCGTGGCCGAGTGGAGGCCCCTTGCATGGCTGGGCGGCGCTCTGGAAGGAGGTGGTACTTCATGGCTTGCAGCAAAAGACGTTGGCACTCCACATCGTCGCACAGCAATGGGTTGCTTTCCAGGTCGCCCAGGAACTGGTAAAAGTGTGGGAGGGGGGGGGGATAAAGGTTGTTACTAAACAAAAATTTGTTTTTTACCAGTTAAGGCTTACTGCACTATGTAGTTCTTTTTCATACGCGACCTGGTCACAAATGATAGCTCAACGAAGGCTGTTTATCAAGTGGAAATTTATAGCAGACTCGAAACAAATGCTCCTAAAATGTTGGAGGAGAAAGCCGGAGGACCCGGGATAAAAATCCACGTGGCCACGGTGAAAACATGCAAACGCCAAATAAACGAGTCAAGGTCGGGATCAAACTCACGACCTCCTGTATACCAGACGAGATAGAACATCTGAACATCTAGCCACCGTGGCATCCTGTTGCTGGAAGACACCCTTAAAATTGGGTGTACAAAGATGACAAAAGAACATGCGCCACAAGTACTTGTAGAGAACATGGCATATCTGCTCATCTCGCAAAATGCGTGGGCGCCAGTGCATATTCACGCCGACATTTCTTTAGACGCCACAGGCGCGTGGCAGAGTTCCAGTGTGCACATCCCACTGTGCTATAGTCTTGCAAGAACACATCTGCAGGGGCCGAGGACCTGTTTTTTTTTAAACAAACGTATAACAGCATTAACTATCATGCCTATCTTGCAAAAAAGTAAACGCACTGAATGGCAACCCTTCCAGTGCTCATCAATAACACGTGTGTCAATAGCTGGAAGTGTACATTTTCATAAGACTCGCACCCCCACCCTGTCTACTTCACCTCCTCCCCCTCCATGGACCCCATCTCTTCCCTCTCATCTCACTTCACTCCAGCAACCAGGGCTCTGCCCAAGCCACCATTCAACCTGGGCTCAGTGGGAGGTCGCCCATTAGTCAGAATCGTCCTTCTCCCAGCCATCCACGCTATCGACTGTTGAAGTCCAAGTTCAAGATGTTTCTTCCTCCCCTGCCCTCAAACTGGAACGACTAGCTCTAAAAATGAAATACGAGCACTATTTCATGTACAGCTCCTTGAGATGGAGCGGCATTTACAGTGAGGGGAAAAAAAAGTATGATTCCCTGCTGATTTTGTACGTTTGCCCACTGACAAAGAAATGATCAGTCTATAATTTTAATGGTAGGTTTATTTGAACAGTGAGAGACAGAATGACAACAAAAAAAATCCAGAAAAACGCATGTAAAAAATGTTAATTGATTTGCATTTGAGGGAAATAAGTATTTGATCCCTCTGCAAACCCTGACTTAGTACTTGGTGGCAAAACTCTTGTTGGCAATCAGAGGTCAGACGTTTCTTTTAGTTGGCCACCAGGTTTGCACACATCTCAGGAGGGATTTTGTCCCACTCCTCTTTGCAGATCTTCTCCAAGTCATTAAGGTTTCTAGGCTGACGTTTGGCAACTCGAACCTTCAGCTCCCTCCACAGATTTTCTATGGGATTAAGGTCTGGAGACTGGCAAGGCCACTCCAGGACCTTAATGTGCTTCTTCTTGAGCCACTCCTTTGTTGCCTTGGCCGTGTATTTTGGGTCATTGTCATGCTGGAATACCCATTCACGACCTATTTTCAATGCGCTGGCTGAGGGAAGGAGGTTCTCACCCAAGATTTGACGGTACATGGCCCCGTCCATCGTCCCTTTGATGCAGTGAAGTTGTCCTGTCCCCTTAGCAGAAAAAACACCCAAAGCATAATGTATCCACCTCCATGTTTGACGGTAGGCATGGTGTTCTTGGGGTCATAGGCAGTATTCCTCCTCCAAACACGGCGAGTTGAGTTGATGCCAAAGAGCTCCATTTTAGTCTCATGTGACAACAACACTTTCACCCAGTTGTCCTCCGAATCAGATGTTCATTGGCAAACTTCAGACGGGCATGTATATGTGCTTTGAGCAGGGGGACCTTGCAGGCACTGCAGGATTTCAGTCCTTCACGGCGTAGTGTGTTACCAATTGTTTTCTTGGTGACTATGGTTCCAGCTGCCTTGAGATCATTGACAAGATCCTCCCGTGTAGTTCTGGGCTGATTCCTCACCGTTATCATGATCATTGCAACTCCACGAGGTGAGATCTTGCATGGAGCCCCAGGCCGAGGGAGATTGACAGTTATTTTGTGTTTCTTCCATTTGCAAATAATTGCACCAACTGTTGTCACCTTCTCACCAAGCTGCTTGGCAATGGTCTTGTAGCCCATTTCAGCCTTGTGTAGGTCTACAATCTTGTCCCTGACATCCTTGGAGAGCTCTTTGGTCTTGGCCATGGTGGAGCGTTTGGAATCTGATTGCTTCTGTGGACAGGTGTCTTTTATACAGGTAACAAGCTGAGATTAGGAGCACTCCCTTTAAGGTGCTCCTAATCTCAACTCATTACCTGTATAAAAGACACCTGGGAGCCAGAAATCTCTGATTGAGAGGGGGACAAATACTTATTTTCCTCATTAAAATGCAAATCAATTCATAACATGTTTGACATGCGTTTCTGGATTTTTTTGTTGTTGTCTCACTGTTCAAATAAACCTACCATTAAAATTATAGACTGATCATTTCTTTGTCAGTGGGCAAACGTACAAAATCAGCAGGGGATCAAATACTTATTTTACCCTCACTGTAAATACCATATAAATTGCATTCTGTAGGAATGAATAAATACTATGCACATGTTTTATGTTATTCAAGCTCTTGATACCAACAAAGCCTTAAAAATAAAATCTATAATAGGCAATGTTTTGGGAAATTGCTCTTCTTCGCAGCACGGAGAGAGGCTAGAGAGGTCGGGTGTGTTTGTACACCACTGACAACGCAGCATCACCAAACAATGTTTGATACCAGATCATTACAACGGCAGAAATTTTTTGCAAAGCCACACAGCTTTGCACGAACACTTGCACGTAGGAGACAGGACAACAGCCATGATGTGACAGTAACAATCACCAGAAGCCAAATCGATTATAAATCCCACCTCATCCATTCAAAAGCATAAATAGCAAAAGTTATCCAAAAAGGTAGGTTTGCGTGTGGTAAGGTATGGACACTCCTAATCTCCGAGGCATCTGGCCAGAGTAGAAGAGAGCCAAAAGACCAGAGCTTTCTCTTGCAGAAGCCCCTTCCGCCACAGCAGTGGTGTATGCATGAAATTTGCAGGGTTGCACCTTTACATGTCAATCAAAGAAAAAGGTTCCCGTGTAGTTTAGACTCTTGGGGCAAGTGCCGTTAAGAGAGCACCTATGAAGGTCAGAACCACACACGAAGGGGGGAAGGTGGCCAGCACGACGCCCAGCCGCCTTCGTCTCCCCAGATACACACCGCATCAGAAAGTCACTTGAGGCCGAGTCGAAAATGGGGGAGGCCCAAGACGGGTTTAGATAAATCACTGGTGTCAGCCGTGACCGGGAATGGAACTCGGGTCGCCAGGTACGGAGCGCAGCGTGCCAAACCGCCTACATTACCCGCGCCCCACATTTTTCACAAAGCGCCATTCGCCACCAAGCAGCAGCAACGTCACCACGACGCTCGTGCCAGGCCACGCGATTTCTCGCGACACACACGGAGACACGCAGGCTCACTTGCGGCGAGAGCAGCGGAAGGCGTACGTGAGCGAGCAGGCCCGGCAGGACGTGGCGCCGTGTCTCGACCTCGTGCATCACCCAGGCCATGAGCGCCTGAAACACCGTCTCCTCGCCCGGCACGTTCATCTCCTCGCTGGCAAAGAGGTCGGCGACCGCCTCCGTTGGCAGCAGCAAGAACTCCTGGTTTCTCATCACCTCTAGGAAGTTCTCCTGTGTACAAAGGCAAAAAGGTGTGGCGCACAAGTTGACTCAAAGCCCATAACGATCACAAAATCTGGGCTCAAGCCGAGCATGGAGAGTCGGGAGTGGGATGGAAGCAGGGTTGTGCTTCAATACATGTGCGATAAATAAATAAATGTTCACTTTGTACAAATTTACCATTTCGCAGTTTTAAAACAGGTTACATGTTATTTTTGCAACGTAAAATTTCCACAAATTCAAATATTAATAACGTTTTATGAAAACGAGATGTGTTGAAAAATGTAATTAAACTATTAGCATTTCAAGTAATTACACATTTAGCGGACAAACCATGCATGTTATTCAAAAATATATCTTATTATATAACATAACAATAAGCATCTGAAAAACAGGACTAAATAGCCAAACATCCAAGATTAAAAAAAAAACTCATTCCTAATACGTGTGTAAATATGTATTCCAACAGATGTGAACCGTACCAAAAGCCACCAGTCAATTACAGGAAACTTATTATTCGCACTCGGCAGAGACACCCGTGGGAGTCCTACCCCTCCACCCCTCCCCCTTCTATAACGCCCATCACCTCGGGGGGGGGGGGGTATATATATATATAGGCCTTTCCATTTTTTGATATTAATGATTTTGCCAATTTTTTTCATACAATCACTCGCGGGGTCGCTGGGAGCAGTACCAAACAGAACCCCACCCCTTTTGAGCAGCCGTCTTTGTCACTCTCGCAAAGCTAATGACACCCTCCCACCAACGGAAAGGGTCAGTCATAAAGTCAAACAAAAACACACACGCCCCCCACCCCGAAGGATAACAAAACAAGCGTTTCGTTTTGGTCAACTTTTTCATGCTTCTTCTAACAAATGGTAAAAATTCCAAAACTTAGCGGCCAAAGATGAAGCTAACATTATTGATCCTCACTCACTCCAATTAAAAACCAGGCTACAATCTACATCAGTGGATCATTACTCCTCATTAATTCAATACCAATGTTATTTTCACCTCTAATAATTTTCTACACGACCTGACCGAAGCATCAAGAATAATTCTGGCAGTGAGGGTTATTCAAGCAAAAAATAATTCTCTAACATCGGGATATCAAATAACAATAACGCGAGAACAAACAGCACAAACCCACGATACAGACGGGGGGGGACAAAATTAATAAACTCTAAGAAATACGTGGTGACGATGATGTTAAATCGCAAATCTTGGGAAACAAACCAAATAATTATGCAGTATTAAACCGGGGGGGGGGGGGGGGGGGCAGCCAGAAGAGATGAGGCGAGTCGATCACGTGACCAAGATAAATGTATTCCAGAGAGAGCGCCTCCCGGCCACCTTGTCTTCCAGCTGCACGTGATAGAATTTGCATACACAGGCAGCGGGCATCCTCTTAAAAATGAAAACACCACGATGGAAAAACACTACAACATACCTTGAGTCACGTACAGAATCATAACTACAAGTGGTACGGTATCAAACTATGGAGGTAAAATAAATGTTTAACTTCAAAAGCCTCACACTTTGTGCAAAGCAAAATAATGTCACAGGGAGGGAAGAGCAGGGGGGAGAGGACTCGACCGGACAGAGGGCACCCCCCTCCTTCCAGATTAATTAGTGCAGAGGGTGAGAAAGGAGGACGCACTCGGGGGCAATCTGGAGCATCCGTTTTCTTTTGATGGCGGGATGGCTTGAGGAAGGCGACAGGAAACCATGCCTTGATGAAACTCATATTACCACAATAAATATGACACGTACAACCCTCCCCCCCCCCACAACACAGAGCGAGATCAAAGGAAGTTCCGATCCTGTGAGAAGGTGAGCAGAGGAAGAAATTTTGGCATAAAGAGAGACACGGGCCATACATTGCATCACAGCTACCAGCGGCAAAGGCGGCAACCATCAGCTCGGCAAGGGACAGCAAGCTAGCTCCAGAGCATGGCCTCGAGATCAAGAATGCGTGTGGTGCATCGCAGAGAAGAGGGGCGAGGCGATGCTGTGTCGAGTTCCGCATGGACCGACAGTGTCGCTGAAAGTTATTCTTAGCGTCAAGTAATCAACCTCGAGAAAGGGCGGAGAGGGCCAAGCATCGATCAAGCCAGCATTGCAGAAACCAGCTGCACGCGCAATCGGCACCGCCAGAGAGAGACGGAACAAGAGAGAGAGCGTGCAGCAGCGCCACCAAGCAAGGGTGCCAGCTGCCAGCGGACAAGCGTTGTGCCAACGCGGCTCATCCAGCAGGGGAAAGAGCCTGACCAGCTGCCCGTGAGCAAGAGTGTCAGCGCCAGCGAGAGCGCCGTGGGTTCGACCCACACCAGCTGGGAACCAAGGCAAGAGTGAGGAACTGCAGCCAGCGGACGAGCTGCGGGCGCTATCTGACGACGGATCATCGCGCACAGACGGCGAGCATCGTGCCGACTCTTCCACCCAGCTGTGGACAGAAACTGTGGCCACCCGTGTGAAAGAGGGAGTGTCAAGCTGTCCGTATGATACACATCCTCACCGCTCCGCCGGGAACAAACATATTTTGCAATGAAGGGATGCCGAACTCCAGCGTCTGCATAACGCAAAGAATTAAAACGCAAGACCAACAACTTGCACATACAAGACTCCTCATAAGAGCGTCAACTATTAGCTGATGAAGAACATTGCTGCCCATTGAGTTACGTGGATACGGTCATTTATAAGTATTTTAGTCGATCGTTTTTTTATTGCATAATCTTACCAAGGAATTAGTTGATAACTACTCTTGCCTTCGGGACATGTTTCTTTATTGCCTTCGTATGAATATCGTTGCATGAATTTTAAGGACTTTTCCTCTCGCCGTGTATGCTCGCGTACTTGAGGAATAATCGATTGTACTGTTACCCAGTTAACAAACGTGATCATTGAGGGTTAAATGTATAGATCGATGAGGGGAACATCTCCAGGAGTACTTTGTTGACAATTGCAAGCATGAGAGTTCGCATATTAGAGTGTTAAGGTTTGTTTAGAAATTACAATTGCTTAACACAGAAGTGTTTGAGTGGTGCCTTCCGAAGTTTGTGCATAATAATCTTATTTATAAGAACTGTATTCTGCGTTGAGATTTGAATTTGGAGACCTGACACACGAAGACAATCAGTAAATGTTAAGCAAGAATAATTGTATTATACCGATTGATAATACAAACCTAGACAACGAAGCCGAGCTTAATATGACATACTTACAGCACACCTGCATAACGGCATGCAATTAATTGTATTATCCCGATTGATGATACGACCCTGGGCAATGAAGCCAAGCCTAATTATCATAACTGCCCACATTGGCATAATCGTACACATTTCACATAAATTAATACTATCCTTTAATTATCATAATTTCATCAAGTAACAATTTCGGACAATTACGCATTTTTCTACATTTCATTTTTATTATTTTCATTGCATTTTCAATACCCGGCATATACAACAGGGGGGAGGAACCCACGGCTGTGCAGCAATCACAGATGCTCACCATGGTGTAGTTGTGTGCCACCTTGTGCAGGTCGGTGCAGCCCTGGGCGTCAGCAAACGAGCGAATGCCCAGGCAGTTGGAGGGGTGCAGCTGCTTCATGAGGAATCCGCAGCAGGCCTCCACCACGGGCGACAGCTGGAGCAGACACGCGGCCGCCAGCAGGCCCTCGATGGTGTCCTCTCGCAGATCCAGGCGGCCTGCGATGTGTCCCCCCCACCCGCACCAAAAGTATTTTGAAAACAAAACGATGTCAGGTCCAGAGAGTATGCGAAAAGGTGGTTGACGCCAACACAAAAAACACATGGACGGATTACAGTGCAATGAAAACCTGTCTAAAAACCACATGTTTCAAGAAAACAACAACCCTGGGTTTCTTCCCAAGCTCTGATACCCCTGTAGGAGTGGCCTGCATTTTAATAGTTGCCATTGGAACGTGGTAACAACGGTCTCTTATCCGACTATGTCACATACCCGCACTGCGACTCGAAAATCACCTGCATTGCATGTGCAGCAAATTGCGATTCATGGAATTGTTATTTTGTCACCATTGTTGACAGTCGACCTAACGGCACCATATAGGGCTGTCACATATCTGCCCTAAATAGCACTTAACCGTCCACAATCAGCGAGGTATATGCGTGGTGCGATTGTCATTCTATACAAATGTTCATATACCGGACCTCGTCACCGATATGCCTATAACACGGTACCTAGCGAGATCGGATATGCTAAGTTGTACCGACTAAATGAAAACAGTACCTTGGCAGCCCTTTGTTAAACTCATGCTGGGTGAAGGCTTCCCAGTGCCGTCGGTCACGGGGGTTGATTGATCGTATTTCACAGGGAGGCCTAGGGCCGATGAAGATCATCGCTGGGTTTATAGCGGAGTGTGCCAACCACTTGGCCACCGTTCCACCCAGTTTTCATTTTAGGAATGTAATATAAAAAGGTGTTTATTTTATAATTAAGGTGACTTGAAAATTTAGCAATAGGTTTAGCAAGTGTTCAAAGCACACATGAACCTAGAAAGTCAGTGACATACAAGGTATTTGAAATAAAAATAATTTGGGCCTAGTCTTGATAAGGTTTAATAATACGAACACATATGCAAGTCGAGACATGGCTCTTGAAATTCCATTATCTGTTCCTGGCTATCATTAGCAGTTATTACAACATTTCAAATATGAACATGGCTTTCTTCACATCAATGGGGGTTAATTTCAGTGACCTCAGAGGTCATGTGACAGAGTCAATCGCCAGGGCAAGTTGTACTCTTTGGGGCTTATTTTGTATTATTTTCTTTGCCCCTCTCCCACGCCCCCCCCTAAACGTAAAGGATACTGTCATTCATGCGACCTTGCAGAAATTTTTTGCTATTTAAAGTACCCTTTTTAAAAAAATGCGTGCATTTCAAAAGAAAGACAAATCCCTCCAGTGGCAACAGCAGCTGGGAGCCTTTTAACCGCACAAGGGCATGTGGGTTGAGGCATCACGAGCTGCTCCTTTTGCAGCTTTTAAATTTTTTAAAGCACAATAAATTATGGAGAAGATGCATTTGTCAGTCGCCTGACCCCGTCTGTTGCCTGGCCCAAGTACAGGAGAACATGATATATAAATCACCCCCATGGGATCCCAAAAACGCACGTGGTGACAATGTTTTGCGAAATAACCACTTTACTAAAAATATAATTGTTTTGTCTTTATCAGATGATGGCATTATGTGGGGAGGGAGGGGGGCTGGTGTTACCACGTGTACAGTTTGTGCGAGTTCGCATGCATAAGGTAGCGGTTGCATTTGGCCAGGTCAAACAAAAACGCTTTGAAAAGAACAAAGGAGTGGGTAAAGCAATTCCTGAACGTTAAAATGTTGACAAGGACGTTCGGTGCATGAAAACGGGGGCATTTCCCCCAAAAAAACGGCAAGCAGAGGCCAACGAGAGAATTGTCCAGAAGGAACGGAGAAGACGTTTTTTGCAGCCACGCAGCAAATCACCACTGCTAGTGTCTTTTACGTTCAATGGAGTGCGTAATGAGCACACTTGTGTTTCTATTCAAACCTGAAATGGCAATCAAGTCCCCCCCCCCCTCCCCCCCCAAAAAAAACCCAAAACACGTGCTTCTCAATTACGTACGCCGGTCACGCTCTGACCGACTGTCACCCCCCTCCCACCCAAGACTTAACTGCGCATCTCAATTGGAAAGCGGCTAGCAGCCTCATCCCACAATACCAACGACTCTTCTTTGAAAGGAGTCGTACCTTTCAAAAAGGTTAAAGAACACTGTGGATCAGCAAGGTGACGCAGAGGGGATCTCCTTTAAAAAAGGCTCACATTAGATATAAAAAAAAATTCAACAACATTACCCCCTCGGAAGAATACAATTCATGGACTGGAAGAAATAAAAAAAGTCCACTTGTTTACGATTGGCTAAATAGACTAAACAAATGACCAGAGCATCAACTGCGTGCCAATACCGATACACCAATACCCACCATTCGCCACAAAGTGCCGGATGTCACCACGGCGTTTGTGCCAGGTCAGGTGTACTGAGGCCATGTAAAGTGTTGAAGGCTTGCCAACAGGTTACAAAGACAGACCCATGTACCATTGGTTGGCCGACAAATGACTGGGAGATGCACCCCTTCCTGTGCCAACTTGCTGCATTTTAGTCACCCAGCGATCTGCTTGCTGTGAGCGTCACTCCACTGCCCTACATCATTGTTGGAGGGCAACTGCCTCCAACTGCCCAGTAGTGGTCTTTCACAAGCCTCCTCCATTAACGGCCAATCTCGACACTGCTGATACCAGTCTTCGGCAAGTTCACTCAGCTCCACATTCTCTCGTACTGCATCTAGTCCATCTCTTCTCCAGCCAATACAGTGCCCGTTTAGTCCCCTCTATGCAGCCAAACAGAAGTTGCTTGGGCATGCGGTGGGTGGGCATGCTGGCTATATAACCCTGCCAACGCAACCTAGCCTGCCGGGAGAAGCTCACCGATAAATTAAAGAGAAATGACATGCGGCATCGCCAGAGAAAAATGTTTGTGACCGCAACATTCAGTGGGCTATGTAAAGAGCATGGCACCCCGTGGCATTAGTATGCCCTCCTCAATGCCAAAACATGTCTAACCAAGTTAGCGCACATGCTAATGAGTCACTTTAAGGAACCAAGTTACTTACAAGAGGGGGAAAAAAGTGATTAAATTTTGCTTGATGCCATTTTTTTTAAACTTGATTTTGCAAATATAAGTGATGTTAACTGCGATGTATTGCTTGAATAAAGGAGAACCTCATTGATAATTATAAAGGGCAGTTGGCAACTGCTCAAAAGACAGCTCTGGCCAATTCAACAGCACCCAGCCTCATGGACTATAGCACAAGCAGGTCAAAATCCTCCAGCTGTCTTCAACAGCAGGAAAAACTTACAACCATATTCTTTGGTTCTTTTGGTAAAGTCACATGGATAAAAATAAAATAACTAGGTAAATTAGAAAAAATAAAAACAAAACCACGAATGCAGACAGTAGCCCGATTCTTAAATCGGAGTGAGTGTAGTGTTAAATATATATGCCTTTTTCCAAAAATGTACATTAACAATAATTCTGCCATTTAATAATAACAATAATCGATAAACTAAATAAATCACCCTCAAACCCACTACCTCCCACAAGCATCTAGCGGTCGTAAAAGGCCATTAAATAATAAACTCCAGGGCAAAAGGGAGGTTAACGACGACGGTCTGCTTGGCGCTTTGGACAGTTCAAACAAATATCTAGAATCACCAGGTATGGACACAGAGCACAGGGCAAACGGACATGATAACTGATATAGTTTTGTATGAAAAAAGTTGAAGCTTGGTTATAAGAGTAAGTCGACAGACTGCAGTATTCCTTGCATTATTTCTTATTGTATCTTTCTACGTACGCGACTTTACCAAGAGAACCAAAGTACACGAGTTCCTGCAAATAACGAAAACTTAAGTGCAAACAAAGCTATCTCTGACCTCGAGAATAAAAAGCACAGATCCCTGGATGCAGACAGGGAGCAAAAAGTAATGAAATCCTTGAAATACCGGAAGTAACATCTAATGACATTACAAATCTTGGTTAAACATAAACCAAATAATAAATCACAACTGATTAGACCAAGGGTAACTCAAAAGAGAAGAAAATAGGTCAAACACACAAGACCAGATAATGTATTCCATGAAATCAGAGCCTCCCTGGCCACCTTTGTCTTCCAACAATTTGACAAATATGGTAACCATAAATACATATGATGGGAGAGTGCATCCCCTCCATAATTAGGAGAGACCACGAAGAGAGTGGTTGGGAATGCAAACAAACAAAATGTGATGGTAAAACAGTCAAAGGCCAAAGGTCAAAAAGGGGGCCAGCCAGGCCGCTGCCGCCACGGGAGGAGGACGGTGATAGAGCGCATCTGTTTTTTCCTCTCTCGCAATAGGCGAAGAGAGGAGAGAGAATTTCATATTTAAGCTCGACAAGGGACTGCTCGAAAGAGAATAGCAAGCCAGCTCCGGGGCATGGCCTCGAGATCAACAACGCGTGTGGTGCATCGCAGAGAACAGGAGCGAGGTGATGCTGTGCCGAGTTCCGCATGGACCGACAGTGTCGCTGAAAGTTATTCTCAGCGTCAAGCAATCAACCTCGAGAAAGGGCGGAGAGGGCCAAGCATCGACCAAGCCAGCATTGCAGAAACCAGCTGCACGCGCAATCGGCACCGCCATAGAGAGACGGAGCAAGAGAGAGCGTGCAGCAGCGCCACCAAACAAGGGTGCCAGCTGCCAGCGGACAAGCGTTGTGCCAACTCGGCTCATCCAGCAGGGGAAAGAGCCTGACCAGCTGCCCGTGAGCAAAAGTGTCAGCGCCAGCGAGCGTGCCGTGGGTTCGACCCACATCGACCAGCACCAGCTGGGAACCAAGTCAAGAGGAACTGCAGCCAGCGGACAAGCTACGGGTGCTGACGACGGATCATCGCGCACAGACGGCGAGCATCGTGCCGACTCTTCCACCCAGCTGTGGACCGAAACTGTGACCGCCCCCAAGCGAGAGAGAGAACAAAGCTGTTTGTACGATCCTCTCCCACACTCACGACGTATCGCCCAGTCTGCTTTACGCAAAAGAATTGAACAAGTGGCAAAGAAGACGCACAACACGCATATCAGGACAAATAAGATTGTTCCAAAAAGTTGTGTTTCAAGAAGGGTTGTTATTCCAAGGTGGTGCGTTAAATATCAACTGGTCATGAAGAACATTGCTGCCCATTGAGTTACGTGGATACGGTCATTTAGAAGTATTTTGGTCGTTCGTTTTCTTTTTAATTGCATAATCTTACCAATGAATTAATTGATAACTACTCCTGCCTTCGGGACATGTTTCTTTATTGCCTTCGTATGAATATTGTTGCATGAATTTTAAGGACTTTTCCTCTCGTCGTGTATGCTTGCGTACTCGAGGAATAATCGATTGTACCGTTACCCAGTTAACAAACGTGACCATTGAGGGTTAAATGTATAGATCGATGAGGGGAACATCTCCAGGAGTACTTTGACAATTCCAAGCATGAGAGTTCGCATATTAGAGTGTTAAGGTTTGTTTAGAAATTAAAATTGCTTAACACAGAAGTGTTTGAGTGGTGCCTTCCTAAGTTCATGCATAATAATCCTAATTATAAGAACTGTATCCTGCGGTGAGATTTTAATTTGGAGAACGGACACACTAATACATAAATCAATAAATGTTAAAGCGAGACTAATTGTATTATACAGACTGATAATACAACCCTAGACAACGAAGCCGAGCTTAATCTAGCACACTTCCATCACACCTGCATAACGTCATACAATTAATGGTCTTATCCCGATTGATAGTACTACCCTCGACAACGAGGTCGAGCCTAATTATCATAACTGCGTACATAATCATATTAATTTGTGAATGTATGCTAATCTCTAATTAGCGCATAATTGCATAAATTAACATAATTGAGCAATTATGCATTTTTCCAAATTTCTTTTACAAAAATTTCATACCCAGCATATACAACTGGCAATCCACATTCCTGCGGAGGGAGCTGGTAGGAACGTTGGGTTGCTCGGGCAATGGCCAGGGTCAACGGCAGCGTGTAGTCCGCAAATATGCCCGACTTAGGGCGGGCACAAACCAGCCCACCCCTCCCATTTCTGGATGCATGGACACAATAATCCCCTGTGGGCTGGTGTAACCAGGAGGTTCCTACCAGTAAAATGTAGACTAGCCTGTAGACAAGACACTCTTGAAATCACACTTAATATTGACAGGAAAAAAAAGTCTACATCGATTTGGGAACATGTAGATAAAACACGACTGCTTCATCAGCCACAACAATGGCAGATAAATGTAAAGATAACCCGATTTGCAAGTTCAACCTCCTTTGCAAGAAGAAACCAGATCAAACACGTTAAAAAGGTACATTGACAAGGTTGTTATTAATCCGAGAAATATCCCAATTTCCAATGGTCTAAAGTCGGTTTTGGCTAAAGGGTTGAACTTCGGAGGTCACCCCCAAAACATATACCAGTGAATGACATTATTGCCAAGGTCGATGTAGCTCTCAAGGGTTTTGGGACACATGGCTGCAGATATGACAAGATCTGAAAACGCTGCAACCCTAAAAAGTGCTAACATACCAGTCAGCAACATCAGTAAGGAGGATGACTATCCCTCCTTGAAAAAGGAGGGATAGTCATCCTCTCAGCCGACAAGGGTAATGCCACGGTCATCATGGACAAAAACATGTACAATAACAAAATTCAGGACCTGCTTAAATGATGGAAGCTACACAAAAATTAAGAGATCCCACCAACAGCCTCGTTACAAAACTAACAGTAGCATAACCGATTCAGCTTCATTAATTGAACAGACCAAACGATTTTCCTTTAAAACCTTCTGCTGCAAGACCACCCAGATTATATGGCTTGCCAAAAATCGATAAAGAAGGTACACCCCATCATTAGACCTCCTTTGCCAGTACCAAAATGTAATAATAGGGTTTTTCCCCTTTTTTCTGGCAACAAAACTGAAACCTTTTTACCAGGATTCATGTTTGCATTAACCACAATACCTGCAGTCAAAATGCAAACAAAAAACACTGATAATATTGGCATTATCCTTGAAACTGATTGGTCCACACCAAGGGACGGCTTTCTTTTGAGCCTCGACCCAATTGGTGCTCGACCAGATGACGCCAATTGGGTCGAGGCTCAAAGGAAAGCCGTCCCTTGGTGTGGACCAATCAGTTTCAAGGACAATGCATATATTATCATAGTATGTTTTTTGTTTGCATTTTGACTGCAGGTATTGTGGTTAATGCAGACATGAATCCTTGTAAAAAGGTTTCCGTTTTGTTGCCAGAAAGGGGGAAAACCTTATTATTAAGGTACACCCCTTCGTCCCATCGTCTCCACCATTGGCTCACCCACGTACAAACTGGCCCGATATATGTCCGAGACCTTGCAGAAATTTACTGGTAAGACCACCTCTTATGTTCTTAAATCAACTCACCTGGTATCAATCAATTAAGACATCTCATTGTCCAGGTGATTTGCTCATTAGTTTCGATGTAGTTTTTGTTCAAAGTTCCTGTGCCCGACACCATTGCAATCATTGAAGATTTGGTCCAACAAGGATTAAATGCTGATGAACTGGCCTTGGTGAGACACTGCAACTCCAATATATACTTCACCTGGAATGGAAAATCCTACAAACAAATTAAAGGCACCCCAATGGGTTCTCCCTCCTCTCCGGTTGCAGCCAATATTTTCATGGAAAATTTGAGACGGACACCATCCAGGCAACCACTCTACGCCTGTCCTTGTGGAAGAGGTATGGGAATAAACACGTTTGTCATCTGGCCACATAGAAGACCAGCTCTGAACCAATTCCTCAAATCACATCAATTACATACACCCAGCTAAATTGACCATGGGGAAGTAGAAAAGGATGGCATGCTACCTTTCTTGGACGTCCTAAATCAAAAAGAGACGAGATGACTCTATGGAGCCACTCTGTCTACAGGAAAGTAACTCATACTGACACCTACCTAAAACCTGATTCCCACCACCATTCATCCCAGAAGAATTCCTTCATCAAAACGCTATACCATCGAGTTCAAAGTATCTCCGACCACTAACCAGTGAACTCAAAACACATACACCAAGATCAAGGAGAATGGATATTTTAGACGACACAATCTGCAAAGCCATCACCCTAAATGGAGGAAGGAGCCATCCAAGGATCCAATCTAAACTATCACCTTGCCATACATAGCAGGGGTAACCAAAAATATTTCCAAAATCATGACCAAACACAAGATCCAGGTCTGATTTAACACGGTACATAAAATTCGTGATTGGATCTAATCTGTGAAGGACAAGATTCCTGACATGCAATATCCCGGCATCTACAAACCAAGCTGTATCTGCAGCAGCAGTTACATTGGGGAACCTAAGCGACATGTCTAACCATGTCCGCGAGCACAAGGCATATTTGAAACAAAGTTGGACCAATACTTCTGCTGTGGCTGATCATTATTTTAACGTGGCTGGCTCACATGAAATTGATTTCTCTAAGACGATGGCACTTCGCAAGCCTACTGGCCAAAGTATTGTTGATGAAGCCATCCATAGACAATTTCAACCAAGGATGGTTATAAACTCAATCATTGGAAAGATGTCAACCACTTTGGGTCATGACTTGGAGTTGTGTTTTATTGTCAACCTCCACCGTCTGTGGGTGAATGGAGTGAAGTACAATGATTGCCTGGCAGTCCTTTGGTAAAGTTGCTTGTCTTTCACATTAACATTCTTCCCCACCCATGCTGCAGACACACTAGGGATACGCCCATCTCTAAACCTTTGTAAACAGTTTGTCTTTAGAGGCCAACCCCTCTTTTTCTGACGACCGCTTGTGTTGCGATTGAATCGTGGTTTTTTTATTTATGAAAAGAATCAATAATAAGTCTACATTATAGACTGCCAGTACACTCACTCCAATTAAGAACCAGGCTACAGTCTAAATTAGTGGTTTTTTTGTTGTTTATTATTTTTATTTACTTTATTTTTTTATCTACACGACTTCACCAAAATGAACCAAAAGAATGAATGTCTGCAGTCACGAAGGTTAAGTCAAAATAAATAACCAACCAAGCATTTACAAAAAAAAACAAGACGTTCCTGTGAAATGTTATTATTTGTATTTGGCCTTGCTCGGTCTTTGCAATTTGGGTCGTAGCTGTGAAGACACCCAAACCCGAATGCAATTGCCAATTTGTGGGGCATGGGGGACATCAACAGCCCAAACCAAAATTCTATTTTCTTTTGGTCCTCACTATCAAAACCACAACGAGCTCATCTTGACCTACTTTTGGGCTACAACCAGACTGTCTTTTTTTTTTAATCCGGTTCACCACTACCTTAATAATGCGAGACACAACACCAAATTAAAGTCTGCCCGTGTGCAACAAGGCAGCGGAGAGAGAGAGGGAGAGATGAGAAGCAGTAGTATGGAGCATAAAATTAAAGGGATGGAGGATGGCAACAAACGTTGCACTTGCTTTTTAACATTTTAGTTGTTGATAAACCAAAATAACTTGGCATATATTTGCCCATATCATAACGTGCTTTTATTGACTGTGGTGGTAGAGGGTTATAGTAACAAAAACAGGATTTTACCTCCGCAATCGAACCCAAAGAGAAATCAATGATGAATAATGATAATATCGCAAACTATTGACATTATATTGGTGGAGCACCACATATTTGTTACCGGTGTAGGCATACTGCACAAGGGCCCAGAGAGCTGTGGGCTCCACACCCTCGAGTTTCACTTCCTCCTGCTTTGCCTCTCGAACGTCGCTGGTAAACATTGCTGCAAAGTAGTCGGACACGGAGCTCAGCACCAGCCTGTCGTGCAACAAAGAGCAGCGAGGAGGAAAAGGTTACGCAAAACGGATCAATCTGACGAGTTTTAATTCCGCCCCCTCCTCCTCCGACCGTCCCCTACGCGACATTAGCCAGTTATTAAAATCATGAAAATTCAACGGTGAACCTTTCCAACGATAGGCCATCAATAAGGTTTAAAAGGAATGCAATATCAAGACAGGTGTTGTTACTTTATTGTTTCTCAGGCATTTAGGTAATAATGTATTTTAAATTCTAGCATTTAGGAGTCCTTAAATTTGGAGATTAACAAGTCTGGCAGCAGCAACAAAAATTACCGATAACCACCTACAAGATATTCCAATGGAATAAAGAAAATTAATCTGTGCTCAATTCTTATTTCAAAGTACATCCTGCTGTACACGAAAGCAATATACATTCAAATAATTTTTTTAGAAATATACAAACACAAGCAACCATAGCAGCTACTTAGTTCATTAGAATTATCCTCATTTGTACACCGCTTCAATTGTGCATAGAAACCATCCCTGTTACGTTAGTCTTGTTCTGCAAGTTAATTAGCTCGCACACCCACCCTGATACTTTGCACTGCCATTTAAATTTGTCTCCGAATTCCCACGTGAACTGCTGGCGTTTTGCTTGCAAACCAGAAATGTTTTCAGTTTCCAATAAATTTCTACACTGTAAACATCCGAGCCGTTCAACGCGCAGGTCACCTTTGCACAAGCAACGAGACATCGCTGCTTCTGCTATTAGGAAGCCACTGGGAGCGGTGATAAAAAAAAAAAACTAATTTCTTTAGAACTGCTGCGTTGTCTGCCGTCCTTCCCGCGCACCGCCGATTAGCACGGGAGGCTACGTACGGTGCGAAAGAATCTCACAAACAGGCTTCATTTCACCCGGCTATAAAACAAAAAAAGGTCATTGCCTCGATACGTGCACGGGTTCGTGCAAGCAAACAAAAACACACACGGGAGGACGCACCTGTGCGCGGGGATGCGTCGATCTCCGGCGAGCAACACCACGTCGCACAGCTGCTTGTGCCGCAGGTAGCCCTCCATGCGGCGGGCCATCTGCTCCGCATGATTGAGTGCCTGGAAGCTCTCTTCGGAGCTACTGGTCGCCACCTCCATGGCGGGCGCGAGCCGTGCCGGCAGAGAGTGTCTGCTTGCGGACGCCCTGCCAGGGTGCACAGGTCAGGTACCAATGCCGCCATTAAGAAAAAAAAAGTCGCCATCAACGGCAGCCGCAGCCATGAACAAGCCACTGCTGGATGAAGGCATTCAACTCTGTCTGTTGCCTGACAAGGCTAATTACTGGAAAAAACGTCATACCTCGAATTGTAAAATGTTGTGGGTTCTCCAACACACCAGTGTGGTGTATTAGTAACAAATAGGCATGTTTTGTTTACGTGACAAACCTTACTAATTGGCTGGTCGGGTTCAAACGATGCATTTATATTTATGCGATTTTACCCAAAAACCTCTTATGGGCATGCAAGACATTGTCATCGCCTCAAGCCCATTGCCACTGGATCTGTCATCATTCATTACCACTAGGGTGGCCACGATATCACATCACCGATAAGCGCATTGCATACTCCGATTTTTTTTCGGTAAAGTCACGCAGTTAGAAATAAAATACAAATCGCCGTTTCGATCGCACTACGCGGTTGTCAGGCTTGGTGTTGTGATCGAAACGTCGCGATTTGTGTTTTATTTCTAACTATGTGACTTTACCGACGACAGAACCAAAGAGTATGGATTCCTGTAGTAATGAAAGCTTCAAATCAAAAGCGCATTGCAGTCAATAATTGTTGTTGTTCACTGAACTGCCAGTTTTTAAGCAATATTTTTAAAAGGTGCCCCTAGTGCATCAATGCACAGCGATTAACATGTGCAAGTACGGTTACAAAGGGTAAAACAGACGTGGCCATAAAAAAAAGTGAAAATGTAACATTGCGTCCGTCGTACTGTGGAAAATTATATCGTGGCAACTTTAGGTCACTCAAAAAACGTGTGGCAGTAACTTTCAGGGCAGTGCGCTTGACATTGGCCATGGAGGGGAAGTGGTAATACTGGGGTGTGTCCTGTGAATACAAAGGCATTAGAGATGGAGAATAAAGAACAGATGCACGCGTTACTCTGGGCAAAACAAACCCAGCAGAAAGCAATTGCCAGATTAATAAAAAAAAGTCAAATAGACTGGACTGAAAAGCTGCAATTTGGAAATAATGCAAAAAAGTAGACCATGTACTCTGCCCATCATTAGACCTCCTTTGCCAGTACCAAAATATAATAATAGGGTTTTTCCCCTATTTCTGGCAACAAAACTGAAACCTTAAAACAAGGATTCATGTCTGCATTAACTACAATACCTGCAGTCAAAATGCAACATAGTATGTTTTTTGTTTGCATTTTGACTGCAAGTAGTGTGGTTAATGCATACATGAATCCTTGTAATAAAGTTTAAGTTGTTGCCAGAAAAAGGGGAAAACCCTATTATCATGTACTGCCCGGTGGTTACGGAAAATAGACTGAAAGAGATCAGGCTTCTGCAGAGTCAGCAGTGTTTTTTTCCACCCCTCAAACCGGCACAACTTTGCACCTCGTACTCCGGCGCAGAGGGGAAAAAAAACGTCCCTCAAAACATTGCCGCTGACGAATCTGGATGGGCAACCGGAGGGCTCACCAACACACCGCGCCCACTCAACGAGTAGCCGTGCTGGGATTAAGGATTTCAGGAAGGGGGGGGGGGAGCATCGGGAAGCTTCAGACCTCTGGGAGGCGTCGCTTTAGATCATCCGTCACGGCTCCTGAAACCCGCGGCGTGAAATGGCAGCAGTTTCCAGTAAACCGTCCTGCAAGCATAACTGACAGGATGAGGATGGAGTGCAGGCTTGTGGAACCAAGTAAGCACTGCTGCATTTAAATGCAGACATAGGATTGGGGAAAAAAGTTTCCACCCCCCCCCTGGCCCCCACACCACTGCAGCCAATGTCAATTTCGCCGATTCCAAACTTCAGGACTACCAACAGCCGAGACGCACATAGATATGTTAGACAGTTGAGGATGTAAAGGGGTTCTGGGGGGAGGGGGGGACCCAAGGTCGCAACTCGGGTCCGAAGATCACACCAGCCAAATAAAGTTCTGTGCCGCTTTGCGCCAAAACATTTGTCACGTACAAATGTACGTTGCAGTCATGCGGTGCAGTGGTGGAGCGATAGGCAATTAAAGTACAATTCCTTTGCTCTGCCAATTATCATGCACGCGGGTCATTGCCGCACTGTTAAGCTGCGCGCGTATCAAAACGCGGCACGCAATTGATCATCGTGCACCACAATTTTAGGCATCGCGTTAAAGCCAAGGGAGAAAATAAAAAAAATCGGCTGCCATGGTCAACGCACAGATGACAAAAAGCCCAATCCAAAAGGTGGTCGTCATTTCTTACAACCATCCCATGGCATAACCCACGCGGCATCTGTACAAGAGCCGATTTAATAATATCAGCTCCTCCTCGTGGATGTATTTATTCCATTCCTTGGTTGCTACTCAGGTCATTAGCCTTGATCATCGGTAAATGTCCCTTCCAAGTCCAATGCTTTACCAAAGCTTAACCGTTGTCAATATGCAGATATCTAACCAATATTCATGTCTCAACTAAACTACAATACTGCAGCTTTCCACACGTATTTCACTTCAATGTAGTATTTGTTAAAGTATAAAATAGGAAATTTGTAAAAAAAAATCTAAAACGCTTCACTTATCAGTATTGCCAGGACTCGAGACACGATTTTTTTGGCAAAAACTAACGGATCAACATTACAGTATGTACACACGCGGACCACTTCGCGCACCATTAACATTGCTTAAGAATGACACAGGGCCTTTAACATCAACTTGACAGCAGATGGCAGGCTTTGATAATGCCCCCCCCAGAAATAAAAACGAGACGAGGGCGTGGAGATCGAGCCAGCCGTAAAGCCAGAGGGGCAAAAATGATTCTGGCAAGCTCGTTGGCCACATCATCCATTTGGGCCGCACGAGAATTTTCCGACAATTCTGCAAGCAACAAATTGCAATCCAAGCATTTCTAGCGCAAAAAAGTCGGCAGAGCGGAGAAGCACGTCAAACTGCACTCGTGTCAATTGCAAGCGCCCCCCCCCACCGCACGAAAAAAAACAGGTCCACCATCTGCTTCAGTTACCATCATCTTCAAGGCGAGCAACGAACAAAATGAAAGCAGCGGTGAGAAAATCAAGGAGACGAGGTTTGGCAGAATTATAGGTCAAAGACGAGCAACTTGCTGGAATTATTTATTGGCCACCGTTGGGTATCTCTGGCCCCCTCCACCTTTGCTTTTAGCGACCAACATTAACAATGCCCCCCCCCCTCCCGTATTTGCTTGCAGTGGCCTGCTAAGGGTGGGGGGGGGGATCGAAAATTGTATTTAGTTGTGCATTCTAAAACATCAGAAACCATGCCGGTGACGAAAATACGGAGACGTATGTAAATTTGAAAAAAGGTGGCAGTTTATATTTGTGCACTCGAACTAAAAACCAAAATGAGAAAGCCGTGACCCAGCGGTTAAAAAACATCCCTTCCACCCTCCCCCCGCTGCAACACCAAAAAAAAGGCATTTCATGAATGATGCGAAAACTAAGAGGCACAAATGAGGCCGACTGCCGTTCCCCTAGCGTCAATACGCACCGACACCACTCGTCGCTCTACACCCACACGTGCAACTCCTGCACGTGTTGACGATCCCGCAGCACCTCACTTCTCCTTTCACCACCCCCTCCCTCCCCGCAAGTGGTTTTATCCCCAGTGACACAGCCAGCGGTGCAATTGGCTATTACGCGCCGATGTATGGACGCAACGACAGGCAGACGGATGGCATCGGGTTGCCCTCCGAGCAACGCGGTGTGTGTGTGCGTGCACGATCGCCCCCTCCGTCCGCGTGGGAGAGAGAGCCAGCTTGATAAAAGCCACCGCGTTTTTTTTATTGGACGGATAATTTTATTTATTTTTCAACCAGCGCGTGATCGCACTGCTAAGCCGCCGCCGCGGCAGCAGACGAATCAATCATCCCCCGTACGTATTATTATATAAGTGGCATTTTAGACGTCCCGCGCGGGCGAAGTCAAACAAATGAGGTAATGATGCTCACGCTCCAAAAGCCAAGTCGGCGCAACATTTTGGAGAATGGGGCGGGGACCCAAAGTGTGGATATGAAACCGGTTCACATGTACGGCACTCCAAAGCAATAAATGGTATGTGTATATACTGTACATACGTCGAAAACGCTTAGGCTTTCGCGACAAATGTTTTAAAGTTGTAACTAATTGGCACGTTTTCTTTACGTGGCATAGCTTATTAATTTAACATTAATATTTTACACGATTTAATAAAAAAAAACCTTTATTATCCTGTACGTGCCACATTCTGTAGTACAAAACGTGATACTACTTTGGGCATTAAGCTGCAGTTTAAATACCGAAGTAAAAAGGTGCAGCCCTGCAGTTAATTGCTGGCAGAAGGACCTCCCCACCCCCCCTCCATCAGAGAGTGCCACAGACACCCCTACATAAAGGTGTGCCTCCAGCCTCCACTGGAGGGAGCTGCACGGAACCTCCTTGTCTGGAGGTGATTTTGGTCTATTTTTACAAGCTGCCCGGGACATCTGGGAAGAAAATGGGGAGTAAACCACACCTTTCAACAACAAAAAAAACCGCACAGCAAGCAAGCTGCTGGATCGAGCATTTAATATCGTGAGCAGTGGACATGTTAAAAAAAAACTAATTTAGATTTACAACCAGGACAAAAAAACTGGCGCGATAAAAGACAAGTCGTCATTTAAAAAAATAAAGGAATTAATATTGTAGAAACTAAACAAACACCGGGAGAGTAATGGGGAATGTTTATAAAGGACAAAAAGGTGCAGGAAAGAAACAAAGGAATTATTATATGAATGCGTGTAAAAGACAAGAATGGTGTGTCTCCTATTGGATTGAGAACATTTTTTTTTACTGGAAATCCAATTGCGCTTGTTCAGCAATCCGAACCTGCGGGTGAGCAGGTGCGGCGTGCCTGGAGGGCGGCAGAGACAAATGCTGCCGCACGGGAAATGAATGACGTCTCTTTGGGACAATCCCCCAACCATGGATTTTTAACGTGCCC